AATTTATAAAGCGACAAGTTAATTAAAGTTTAATTTCTTCCCACTCCGTCGGGGTCTTGACCTCTTTCTCCCGATTGCTCCCCGTTTAATGCCGAGAAATTATAACGAGCGCACGCCCATGACTAAAAATTACTAAGGAAAATTAATTATGTACTACACCCCTTTACCATCGCTAACTAAAAGATATTTCTTTATAAATAAATTTGTACTTGTATATCAAAGAGAAAATATAATTGATAATAAATTACATTTTTAATTACTATTCATCTGAATTAAATTAATAGTACCCAAACTTTCACATAAATCGCTAAATCTCAATCAATATATATACCCAACCCAACAGAGGTTTATCAGAAAAGTGTTAGACTCTAAAAAATCCACCTTAACAGTTTCAATTCATGAGGGATTGATAAAAATAGTGTTCCCCTTACCTCTAGGGGTTAGTAAGTTAATACTCTCTATCAAATTTATTTAACCTCAATATTGATAGCGACTACTTCTTCACTGTTATCTACGTTAACGATCTATCTATTCTTGTCAGAGGTAAATAAGTGAAGATCTTATAGGTGCAGTTACAGATAACACTCACTATAATTAAGAACAGTAAATCCCAAAAGTACAGACATTCCAGAATGCCATTGCTCGCTTTAAATTGATTGAGCTGGTTATAATAAATGTCAGAGTATTATTCTTAACCCCAAATTATTGTGGAAACTTGAAGTAGATATTAGAATTAAGAAAGCTAGTATCGGAGATACACTGGTAAATATGGGGAAAATAAGAGGGGTAGAACTCAGCACTGACCACCGATTATTGATAACTGACAGCAATTTGAAAACAAGTCAAAAATGAAACAAATCTTCATTATCTTAACTCCAATTTGCACGCGATTCGTAGTATAAGCAGACAATATTATAGTAATGTTAGGCAAAGTAGAACGTCCCGATATCTTGGTACGCTTCTGTCTGTTTTGCATAATGTAATCCATCATGAACCAATTCCAGTTGTTTGTTTTCTTCCTCCAGATGGTCCGAAGAGTTTCACAATAAGTAGAGTGATATAAATAAGTAAATGTTTATTTTGTGTTGTCCTCTTTCTATTTTTGCATGTTCCATGTATTCAACGAGGAAAAAATAATCTCAGGAAACGCGACCAATTTTTCAAAGATTCAATAAAACAGACTCCTTTTTTCTATACCAAGCTTTCGGAATCTTTTGTATTCCTTCATCAGGGTTACTGAACAAAAGAGAACAAAGCAATGAACAACAAAATCTAATTCATCTAAAAATAAATTAATCTACTTACAAATGGAAAGCGATTTAATCAGCTCAAGCAGCACAAGCATTAATCACCTCTAAAAGCGTCAAAAACGGATTTTTTGTTAACAATGAACCAACTTTAACTTATTCTCTAACGCCAAAGTAAAACCGAACACGTTAAATTCTTTATAAACCAAAATGGCTGTGACTTTGAAAAAGTTAAACGTTACAACTAAGACGTTGAAAATAAAAACCGCAAAAACTTGACTTGAACATTTAAACCAGTCACCCAACAGAGGTACTGCACAACAATTTTCAAAAATGAAATACAAAACACAAAAATTAAAAAAATTATATAAGACTGTTAAAAAGTATAAAATTTCAAAACCTACGTTAAATCGATAAACAATAATATGTCTTTAGAAAAAAAGAGATGTTTCATTAACATTGGATTTATCTTAAGACTGCCAATTATTGGATAAAAGGTAACTATAAATTAAGCTTAAATTATCGATATCAGTTCTAAAGTTGACGGATTTTATTTCTTTGTTAATATAGACCATCTCCAAAAATAACCTTTTTTGGTATACCTATTCCCTATATATGGTAGTTGTATTGTTAAAATCGAAATGATGACCCTCATTAACATGATGGGCCACTAACGTACTTTTTCTCTAATTTCCAGCTACGCACTATCTTTTATGTTGGTTAATTCTATTCGAAAGATAGTGTGTAGTGGTACCGATATATGCACCATTGCAATTATTACAAGTAAATTACGTAAGACTGGCCTAGAAGGGGAACAGGATCCTTAGTTTTAGAGAACAAACAAGAAAGGGGTCTACTATTGAATTTTGCAAATTTTATAGAGTCAGTCTTCAGAACAGACATCAACTGCGGTGTTAAGTTAGGAACGAAGGGGATCTTTACCTATCTAAAATTGGGAACACTTGAGAGGTTCTCTTGAGAACCGTTAGGTTTGTCTGCATTATTGACTGCATTTTTCTCGAGAAGTGTCGAAAACATGGTGTTTCACCATCACACATTCTGAATGGTTTCAAGAACGTTGAACTACTTATGAATGAATCAAGAGGCCCCCTCACTAGGAGGATGGATAATTTCCAGTTAAGGTTGGGAGCGAGAATTTTGAATTTTGAAATTAAAATACTCATTTCGATATTAAAAAGATTGAAAATACCATAAAAGAGTTGAGTCGTGAGCTAACTGATGTTCCTGTACACATTTTGACAGAATTTAAACTTAGACTTACAGTTTTTTATAATAAAGTTTTTTTTAGTGTTAAGTTGGTTAATATCAATAAATTTAATAAATTTCAGAATCAATGTAAATTTGATAAAATAGTGAGGAATAATGATGGTTGGTTTGTTAATAGGAGTGATGTGGAGGTTTCTGTTGTAGTTAAAGATTTTTTATCTTTGGATCCGAAGTTAGGGATTATTCCAGATTCGACTTCAGTCTCAGTTCCTAAATTAATAGCTGATATTAAGAATGTAATTAGAATTGCACCATGTAATGAACAGAATGTAAAAAGAGCTAGATGCACGAATAATCAACTAATTTTTTAAGAAAGACAGATCAAAATAATGTAGTTAAAGCATTAATTAGTAAAGCTTATTGTGTTACAAAATTCTTTCTGAAAACTGAAAGAGAAGACCCTTTGTTAATTTTAAAAGCTGATCCGTCAGAATATATGCGGAAGTCGTTAAGTTTGTTCAATGATCAATCAACTTATGTGGTTCTCCCACGAGATCCTACTAGTACCATTCAAAACAAAAATAATAAATTTTCAAAGTTGTTACTTGAAAGGGATTACATTGAGAAACCTATTTACAACAGGTTAATTTGCCACAATGGTATTATTCCTAAATACTACGGCCTTCCAAAGATCCATAAACGAGATTATCCCTTGAGACCTATTATTTCCTTCGTTGGCTCACTCACGTATGAGTTGTCTAATTTTGTGGCTCGTATTCTGACTGAAGCGTTGAGAGAGAGAACTTCGTGTAACATTAAAGACACTTTCACCTTTGTTGAAGAAATTAAAAGGAGAACCTTACCTCCTAACTTTGTGTTGATCTCTTTGGAAGTTGTCTCTTTGTTTACTAATATTCCCTTATCATTAGTAAAACAAATCATAACTGATAATTGGGACATCATACAACCAGTAACCCAAATCGACAGAGACCTTTTCATTGAGATAATAACCTTCCTCTTTGAATCTTCTATTTTTTCCTTTGATGGAAAGATTTATAGTCAGAAATTTGGCACCCCTATGTGTAGTCCTTTGAGTCCCATCCTCGCCACTATTGTGATGGATTGTTTGTTGGGTCAATGTATCCCTTCATTTGATTTTACTTTTCCTTTCATTTTTAAGTATGTTGATGATATCATATGCTGCAATAGACCACGTGGAGCAATGCATCTTTTTAGAGCAGCCCTATAAGAAAAGGGAATGCTAATAGAAAACTTATATCTCGGAATCATGATTAGTATATGGGAAGAGAGATAAGCAAAAGCAAGTGGAGTGTATACCAGATATGTTACAGCATGATATGTAAAAAGGTTTAAGTACTTGGACACAAACTGGGACAATGATAGACAAACATAAATCAAAAATAGGGGCAAAAGAGATGAAGTATCTGTGAAAAATTTTAGGAAATCCCTCAAGACAGGTATGTAACAAATGCGTTAGAAAAGAACTGACCTTGATCCCCTCTACTAAGAGCTAAGTAAAGGAGATAGAAGAGAAAAGTTGTAATGAGGAAAGAATATCAAAGAGAATGTTCAATATAAAACTAAAAGAAAGAAGAAGATGGGATAGAAACCAATGGGAACAAGTGATAGGCGAGATTGCGTTGACAAGAGAGGCTTAACACCATAAAGTAGAATGGAGGCAAAAAAAGGAAGGACTAACATATTTAATTACCAATAATTAAGACCTTCATGAATGGCAATTTATTCCCTTTGACTTTCCACATAAATAAAGCCTGACAAGAAGATCCGTCTCGCGACGGCGAGGAACATCTTTATATTTGAATTATCTGCTAAAAGTAAAGAGAAATAATTAATTATTTATTTTAAGTTTTATTATTTGCTGTTATCTATTCAAATATCTTCGATACTTTTAGCTTAACCATCATTATTAAAGTTTAGTTTGAATCAATAAAATCGCCATCTATATAGGAATAGCGCTAACATCCGCGAGACCATTAAAAACACCTGTAAGTTCTTTTTCAACATTTTTTCAAACCCCAAAAAATCATATTAGAAAGTTAGGAAACGCAATTTTGTTTCAGTTCTTTCCAACTTCCTCTATTACATAAAATCATCTCGTCGTTACAATCTATGTAAACTATGGAAAGATAAGATCTAACCGGAAACATCTAAAATAACCGTTGTTAAAACAGAAAAACAAGAAATTATACGCATCAAAAATTTTTATATTTCAACAATAAATAAAAACCAAGGTTTATGTCAAAAAATATTTTAATTTGTATTGTGTATTGTGTACTATTAAAAGTAAATAGAAATTAAAATATACATACATAAAGGTGAGAATATGAAGAAATTATTTTTTTTATTACATTCTTGGTAATAATATAGTTAAACAAAGAAAATTGTTTTAAAATTTAAATAATATGGTTTAGCTATATCCACCTCCACAAAATTTCTCGTAAAGCCCCTTTCATTTTGCACTACTTGAAAAACGTTATGGTTTGGAGCTCCGGCTGCTGCTGACCAACAGTGTACCATTCGGCCTCTTTCACTTCGGTGCTTTCTCAAGATATCAACACGCAATTTTCAATCAACTTACATTAACACGTGATGTAGTTCTCATAAGCGCAAAAAAATTTAACTTAAATAAACATTTTTTCAAAATACATATTTTTTAATTCACTTTTAGTGCTTATATGTTAAATAAAAAAATAAGAAATTGTGGTGAATTATTAAAATTTTTTTGTGGTGTGATTTGAACCGCTTGGATTTTAGTTCAATTAAAAAGTAAGTGGTAAGAAAGAATTCTTGTTGTTAATTAATTCTTATACAACAGTAAGTGTGTTATGAGAATTGAGGGCGATTATAAAAAAAAATCAAAACAATTATATTGCCTGTGGCGAATCGAGCGAAAACTGTGTAAACAGATCAGAAAGGAACAATTTCGTAACTTAGATAATTTGTAAATGAAACCACGTCGCTTTCAAATTCTTGTAAATCGTTTTATCTCGTTTCCTTCGCGCACTACGTAGTTCGAGTACATAATTTCGTCAAGAATGCAAAAATCCAAATTAAAAAAAATTTATCCAAGATCATTAGTTTGTTTCAAGAAGAATCTAGATTTCTTTCTTGGAAATAGCCTCTCTGTTAATTAGTACTTTATTCCAACTTTGCCTATTCATTGTGAATTCAATATGAAGTAAACTTTACTGTAATTATTTAAGGAATTGCTTTCATTTAATTAGATTATAATCAACACCCGCGAACCTTGGATTAAATAAAAATCTTCTACTTCATGTTACCAAATCTGGGTTTTGGCAATAAATTATCCCATTTTTTAAAGTCATTTTGAATTTTATCTCGCTTTCAACGCAATTTTTTGGTCATAATAGTTATTTGTTTGCTGTTTACAGAATACCTAATAAATCATATACAAAAGTTTGACCATCTTGTATTTAGGTAATCATGTAGGTGAAGAGCTAGCAATATAAAGTGAGATGCGTCGCTTTCTCCACAACCTTTTAATTTCAATTATGAAGCATGATGAGCTCATCAATTTCCATAGAGTTACGTAAATATTCAGCGTTTCTTCTTTAACTCATTTAAATTCATTCGAAAAAATATTTTTTCTTCTCTCCGACTTATTCACAAACATGGCAGAGGGATGCTAACAACTCTCTCTTTGTAGAGGCGCTTAGTTATAGTGTCAAGTGTCATATCTCAGAAATTCTCTAACTTTGAGTGAGGATAGGATCACTCTTTTGAAAGAAACAGTATTGGCTTCAGCAAAACAGGTTTACCATAAGCGATCTGCACTAAGCACATGAAGGTTCTTTCATTTATTGAAGTATAACACAAAAATGTATTGCTTTATTATTGGCATTCAAGTTGAGGTTTCATAATAACGCAGATAGCACTTCACTTAATATTTACTAATTTTATTAATCCAACTAATTTTGATACAGTGTAGTGTTTTATATAATGTCTAAGGATAGAGGATATATCTGTTGTTGTGGTGTACAGGTTTCTCTTTCCAAATCTGAAGATGTTACGACGATTCGTAGTCTTGGCAATTTAGTTATGGACATCGAATAAAATGGAAACTGGTTTGTCGATGTAATATTTTCTCCCACTCTAAATGCGTTTGTTATCTGTAAAGTATTGAAATTATTTTGTCAAACTCTAATCCTTAACTTCTCCTGCTTCGTTGAATTTACCAATTATTAACAAATTAAACAAGAATTGAATTTTGATGACAAGGAAAAAGCTGGTAATCAGCCAACCAGATTATCAATGGTGAAAGAAAACTTATTGAGTTTGATTAAAAGAAATCAAAAGTCCAGAAGAAAATAAAAAAATGATACTCCAATCAAGTGATAATTACGGCATTCCGATTTTTATGGCGAATAATTGGTATTATTGTTGAATTATTTTCTCATTATTTTGAGGTTTTGCACTTTCTGAATCTTTCTCTTCGCAAAAAGTGAAATAAAACGAATTATAATACACTGCAGAAAATTAAAATGTTTTTACTAAATAAAATTTTTAATTTATATCATTATACAGTATTTTGTTAGATACTGCTAGCAGAAGACTGGATACTGCTTATAGAAGACTATATACTGCTAATACAAACATAGGTACTACTATTTAAAAATTATTTACTGCTTGCAGAAAACTAGATACTGTGAGTAGAAGAAAAGAATTGTTTGAAAGATACAAGATATTACATGAAGAAGACCACAGTTTGTTTGATACTTGCCCAGTTTGGAATTACGGATCCTTGAAGACGGTGATCTAGATCTTATCCTTCTCTAAGAATAAGTTGCTGTTTGTTCAGCATTCTTCTTGAAGTTGGTTTGGATATAATATAAGATCTCCGTTACGAGATGTGTAATATAACAGTCTTTTTGGATCAAATCAACGTTTGTATACTGATCTCTAACTTCGTGATACTTTTAAATGGGCCATCACGTTTGCAATTTGAATCAGAAAATAGTCTAATAGGCTCAAATCATAGCTCATGATGGCCATTTGACATCAGAATTTCGGTTAATTATTCGATTTTCGATAACGGTACCTAAAAGTTTAATTATTGCATCGTCAAACATCGTCCATGACATCCACTGTAACACCACAGTTCCAAAATCTGCATCAAACTAGTTTTGAGTGCATCGGTTGCTCAACGATGACGTTTGGATTTTCCGAACCTCAAATATGACACTTTTGCTTATTGACAGAGCCCTCGATGTGGAAATGGAGTTCATCTTCGGCCAAGCGATCTCCAGTCCATTGGGCGAACCGAAAACGCATCAGATTCTGCGTAAATTTCTTCCTGTTTGGATTGAGTTGAGTTGGGATGGGTTGAGTTAGGTTGGTTGGGTTAGGAAGGCTCACCTGGCGCTACAAGTCGATACATAAACAGGTTGTTTTTCCATTAACGACCAAATTTTATAAACTAACTACACGAATTAAACTCGATTTTCTTGCTAGATGCACATCTTTCAATATAACGATGTAATTAAAAATCCTATAATTTTAAATCCAGTCTTAATTTAATAATTTAAAATAATTTTAAAAGTACATTTGATGAGTTAGTTGGAAACCAATACGATGTAAGATCTATTATACACAATAGTTTAATTCATTACCTTGAATTATAAATGCATCAACTAATATTAACCAGGAAATGATTGCACAATAATATTATGAGTGTCCATAGTGCACAACAAAACCTTAAATGGAATAATTATCAATTTGTATGGGTCGATCTCTTCATCAACAACTCATAAATGCATACGTACGAAAAAAATTCAAACAAAACATAGTTTGTTTATTAATTTGAATTAAGTGGAACATTTTCGTTAAAATGCTTTTAGGGAAATCCCTTTCACCTTGTTCTACATCGTTTCTGCCTTTTGGTAAGTAGAGAAATAAGGAGTAAGGAAGTAAGAAAGAAATGGCTTTTACAGTACCAACATCAGTTTCACTTTTCTGTTCTCGCTCTTAGAAAGTGACCTTGATCGAGAGCCTCCATCAAGTACGAAAAAGGAAAAAGAATTACGCGGAACCGTTAAATTCTTCGCCCCCTTCCTGTCAACGCAAGAAGATTTCATGGTCGAAATTTCATTTCACATTTTCACAATTACCTGACCTAAATTGATTAATTTTTTTTAATTTAATTAATTTAAGGAAACTAAATCTTATTAGAAATTAGAAAAGTAAAAAGTGAAGTTGATAGTGTTAAAGGAACCATCTGTTCGTTATTATTTTTTTGTTTTAATAATGGAGTGAACGAAAGAAAATTACAGACCACAAAGTACAACTTCCCACAAAATGCAATAAATTTCGCTTTCAAGTACCACGTAGGATTACAATCTTAACAGTTTTGCCTTAGCCACTTTTAATAAATCGTCTTTTCATAACTTGATATCTCCATTATTTTTCTGCTTTATGCTTTGAACAAAACTTTCTAATTGGAATTAAACGTATTTAATCATTTTCGTCGAGTTGTATCACGTAACTTTAACGTTTGTTGACAATTGATATCTTTTTGCACGTTCCACATTTCGATGTTATATAATTTAATGTAGCATATTTTGTTTTGCTTATAAATATTGTAAAAGGGAAATTTCACTTTATAGATTATAATTTTTTTTTCTTCATTTTTATTTCTTAAGTTAGCATTGTTGTTTTCCTTGAGTTAATATTACAAGGATTAGAAAGTCATTCATTTAAGTTCACTTAAGAGTGTTACAGTTACGGATCATTTAAAGTTATTTCCTTCCTAGCTAAAATAGTTTTGTTTATTATTATTTTTGAAGGATTGTTTTGAGTTAAATTTAATTAAATTGCATAATATAAAATAATACATCATTACTAAGCATCGTTAAAAAAGAAGATAAATTTTATAAACAATAACAGAAAACATTCCAAGCATACGAGTTTCTCTTCGTAATTTATTAACATTTTAAATGTCGAAAGAGATCTTCGCTATAGAGAAAAGAAAATTGAATGGCCCCGTTTTCTTTTTAAAATCTTTTGACAACTTTTACCGTTACATCATAAACAAGTTGAAAAATCCCCCATGAAAATCGTGTTTGTGCCCGCAATGTTTCGGTTTTGCAAATATACACGTTCGACTTTCCCTTTTTGGTCCAATACACGCGCTTGTAAATGCCATAAATCAACATTGACTCAACACAACTCAAACAGATTCACCTGTGAATCTCAATATTGACCATATTGTTTCCAATATAAGAAACTTAAATAAATAAAATTAACATTAATTAATTATTTATTTTTTCAGTTTCGTTACGATGTATAAAATTAAAAAGATTATCTTTTGGATTTTATCGATTACAAGTATTTGTAGTTGTTCGAATATTTTAATGATCACTATGGGTGGAACAAAATCGCATAAAATACCCTTTTGGGAATTAGCAAGAGGATTAATTCCGAGGGGACATAACATCACGTTTATAAACGCTTTTCCACCTGATTTTCATTTACAAGGTTTAGAAGAAATCACTCCGGCTAGTTTTGTTTTTTACGTAAAAAACTTTACTAATTGGGATTTGGTTGGGGCGAGAATTAAAGGAGAAGAACCCGTACATCCTTTTGATATCGTTAGGTACTCATACGAGGTAAGTTTAGAAAGTTTAAAACCAAATTTTTTACCCCACTAAAAAAAAATGATGATCATTTAGTAAAAAAAAAGTGAAACTTTTTTTATTAAATTTCTACTTACATAATAATTTTTTGTAGTTTTCCCGAAAAAGAAAGTTATTAGATACGATTTTAAACTTTAGTTATGATTTATGAGTTCACTGAACTTTAATATTATATTTAAATGCAACAATTATTTTAAATCATTTCATTCATATTCTCATAATTATCATAATTATATAATTTTCTTGTTTATTTTCTAGACATGCGAATTGCTTTTAACGGACCATGAAACGAGAGGTTTTCTTTCGACGGCAAAAAATTTTGAATTAGTCATAATGGATGGGGCTTTTCCAGAATGCACCCTTGGGTTATCGTATTTCCTGAAAATTCCTTTTATGTACATAAATACAGTGGGATTTTACACCGGATCTTTATCGTTATCCGGCAATCCAACGATGCCTTCATTTACACCGTTTTACGGAAAAGCTTTCACCGATAACATGGGATTAATCGATAGAACTTTGAATACTTTATGGTTTGGAGCTGCTAATTTAATGCATATTTTTGCGATGAGATACGTCCATCAAGTATTAAAAAAAGAATTTGGACAAGAGATTCCTCATCCTTATGAATTATCGAAAAACGTTAGTTTTATTTTACAAAATGGACATTCAACTTTAACATATCCCAGAGCTTATTTCCCTAACGTTGATGAAGTTGCTTGTATTCACTGTAAAACTGCTAAAAAGTTACCAACGGTAAGATAACATAGCGAAATAACCTATGCGAAGTTAACACCAATTTTTCTTATTACTCAACCGATTTTCAGTCATCAAGCTCTTACTTGCAGTGAACGCGAAGACGGAAATGACCAATCTCAAAAGTCGCTAATTAAAACTTTCGATATTTATGCATCTGAGAGGAAAAATATAAAAGCGCAATATTATTAAGAGTAAAATTTGCGACAACTTTTATTCTAAAAGTTTCTTTCTAAATCGTTCCAAATCCAGAGCTCTACCAACAACAAAATGTAAAATCATGATTTCATCTAATTTTCACCTATTCGAACTTTTCTCGATATTTATACAACTGAGAGCAAAAGTGTAGAAGAGCAATATTGTTAAGGATAAAATTTGCTACAACTTCTATATTAAAACTTGTTTTCTAAATCGTTCCGAATCTCGTACTCTACCAACAAGTTGTAAAATCACGATTTTACCTAATTTTCAGCCATTCGAATATATATGCATCTGACAGCAAAAGTGTAAACCAGCAATATTGATGAGAATATAATTTGTTACAACTTTTATGCTAAAACTTTTTTTCTAAAACGTTCCAGAGGACATCTTTGGAATCGTTCCAAGACATGTCCAAGGTAAACTGTCTTCCTCGTTTTCACTAGAACTAGAATTCTTCGGTACGTCCACATTTCAAATGCTTCTATACGATTCATACTGACAGTCTTCAGAGTCCAAGTTTCCACTCCGTACAGCAGGATTGACCATGCCTAACACTTTTGCGTCTCAGCCCTATAGCGATATCCAATCGTTGATCGCACAATACTTTCCTAAGTACAATGAAATATTGCCTCGCTTGCTTTACTCTAGATCTTACTTCAATGTCATTGTCAAGTCTCGAGTTGATCCAACACCCCAGGTATCTGAAACGATCAACCCTGTTCAATCTCACTTCGTCCACCCTCCCAGGCATGGGGACGTTTGAGTTATCCCGCAACTCAATCAGCATTACTTTCGCTTTATCGATGTTTATGGCCATATTGAACTGCTTGCATGTCCTATTTATTCTGTTTATTATATTTTGTAATCCCACATCCATATCGGCAACCAATACGGTATTATCTGGTATTAACGCCATTTATCTTTATTCCATCGTGGCAATCCTTAAGTGCCTCAACAAACAAACATTCTGAGTAAATATTAAATAGTGTGAGAGACAGCACCCATCCCTGCCCTACTCCCTTACAGATATCAATATTCTTTGAAGACAATTTATTCTCGCGTTGGACTTTCGCAGATTGCTGCCAGTATAGGTTTTGCAAAAGTACTCTATCCATATCATCCAACCCGATCTACTCCAAGAATCACTTAGATCTTTTTGTTGGTCATAACATTTTTGTGAGAGGACTTGCACTTACGGAAGACAAACTGTTCAGAGGCAATGATAGACTCGCACTTGTTATATATTCTTTTGTGTATAATTTTCAACTGGATTTTAAGGGCATGCCTCATTAGACTTATAAGTCTGTAGTCGTTACATGTCTTTGCCCTGTAGTTCTTGGGTATCGGTATAAACTTGACTCAAACCAGTCCTGTGGAATTTTACTTGATTTATATATCTCATTAAACAATATCAAGAACATATTTTCCTCGCTTATCAGTTTAATCATTTCTGAGTTTATCCAATCAGGACCGGGACTTTTATTATTTTTCAGCTGGTTTCAGCTCTGTAGGTTCATCAATGTTGTTTGGCCTCTCCTCGCCACAAAACACTCTGCCATCCGAGTCCTCCAACACACTTGGCATTTTCTTGTGCATGTCATTCATGCATTAAAGTTTCTCGATTTCCTCACATTTGGCCATCATCTTTCCTCATTCAATCTCTTACAATTCCTCCAGATGTTCTTGACTTCTCGCCTCTTGTCCATCAGATTCAGAATCTCCGAGTCATCCATTCTTTCGTCTTCCTCACTCTTGATTCTAGATTGTTGTTTGTTACTCCCACAACTATATCTTTAATACTGCTCCGGATGTTCTCTATATCAATTTTATCATTTTTATGCTTGATTTCAGTATTCCAAGCTCTCTGTTCAGTTGTATGGATGTAGCTGTTCTTGCTCTCCTTCCTCAGGATTCTTAGATTAACAAAATTCTTTCTTGTTGTTAACTTTCGGGCGTCCATACTTGTACGAGCCGAACACGATGTCATTTTAAGATCTGTATAAGATTAAGGGGTTGATTTCGATAGAAGAATATTGCGAATAGAATGACGTATAGATCTTGATAATCGAGTACAGCGTTTACGAGTTATGGTCACCTAAATAAAGAAAGAGATTGCGCTTCAGGCATTTCCGCTGTCGTATTGACTAAGGATTAAGTTTTCAAATGATTCTGGATTCGTAGGAAGGCAGGCTGAACCGCTCGCAGCACTTTTACCTCAGCAGGTCCCTTGTACTTACTTTTGGTCAGCATTAGGGTGCTTCCAGCCATATTGTCTTGGGGGCAAAGGTTAGAATTTGTCCTGGTTGTGCTGCCCTGATTCCACTCATACGAATTTGAAGGGTCACGCAGTCGCATAGAATGTGTTCCGCCGATTCCTCGTGCTCACCGCATCCTCTGCAGATGTCGGTGTCACTTATTCCCATGTTCAGTAAATGCTTCTGTAGATGCCAGTGTTCAGTGATTAGACCTATGACTAAACGTAGGTTCTTCCTGGACAGTCTCATAAATAAATCTGTTCGTTTAGGGTACATCAGAGCCTACTTGGCTTGGCGATATCCTAGTGTCCTGACCCAGTAAGTTAGAAACTTCTTACGTGTTTCCCTTTTTTGAAGTTCTATTAAACACCTTATTGTTGGGGTGATGAATGGTTCTGGCGATCCCGGAGGTTCGCCTGCAGCTTTTCTTGTCAGTTTGTCCATCATGTCATGAAGCTTATTTCCCTAATGACCCTTTCTCCAGCAGATCGTAATGTCATTACTAGCAGCTGCCTCACAAAGCTTGTTATGGCAGTCCTCAAGCAACGAGGATGAACAGCGATACCGCCCGAGCGAGATGAGGGCTTGTCTGCAATCAGAATATATTATAATTTTTTTGTTGAATAAACCGAAGCACCAGAGCTACTTTCCCTACGAGATCCGTCCACCCATAATTGGAGAACAGTTTCGTCGGGCATGGATTGTTCTCCTACCTTTATTTCATACGGTCGTTCGAAGATAAAACGCGTAGGAATCGTATCTACCCTGCCACTTAGGAGTGGCTGTTTGCTACATGCCTCCTCCCATAGCTGGCTAGTCGATTTTCCACATTTATAAAGCCATTTATCGTTAGCCGCTCGTAGCTGGATCATTGTTGCTATCACCTCAACGTGATAATTGAGAAAAGGAAGGCACAGTACATTCTCCATTGCTGCTGTTGGTGTGGTTATCATCAAGCCTGTAACGTAGAGACAAGCCACACGTTGTAATTTTTGTAGTTGCAACACAATGGTTTTATTTCTAACTCTTGGCCACCAGTTTACGGCGCCGTAAGTTAATATTGGACGTATCACTGCTTTGTATATCCACATGGATATTTTGGGTGTTAAACCCCAGGAGGTCCCAACGACTCTTCTGCACTGAGCAAAAGCAATGCGTGCCTTATTTATCTTACCTTCGATGTGCGGTCTCCTTTTATCCAGGGTTAACCCCAAATTATTCACATTATTGGCAAAGCTCAAGGGAACTTTGCAAAGCCAGAGCGCTTTAAGGGTACCCAGTCTTCTTTTCCTTGTGAAGAGGATCATCTCTGTTTTATTCGGGTTCTTTCGAATGAGATATTATTTCTCGAAATCGGTTGAGAGTGTCTCGTACTAAAAAATTTGTTGGCTAATTTCGCATAGGTCGCAAAAAAAAAATATTATTCGAATTATTTTTTAGGATCTTGAAGAATTTATCAATGAAAGTGGAGAAGCTGGATTTATATATTTCAGTATGGGTTCATCAGTAAAAGCAGCAAATATGCCTGAATATTTAAGAAAAATGCTTCTTTACGTTTTTAAACAACTCCCACAAAGAGTTCTTTGGAAATTTGAAGATGACATGATGGATATTCCACCGAATGTAAAATTAAGTAGATGGCTTCCTCAACAAGACATTTTAGGTCACCCTAAATTAAGAGCTTTCGTAACCCATGGTGGATTATTAAGTATGTTCGAAACAGTTTATCATGGAGTTCCCATTGTTTCTTTACCGGTTTTTTGTGACCACGACGCAAACGCGGCCAAAGCTGAATTAGATGGTTACGCTTTAAAATTAGATTTGGCCACGTTAACTCCTGATAAGCTTTTAAAATCCATTAAAAAAGTTATTCACGATCCAAAATATAAACGGCAAGTAAAGAAGATGCAGAAATTGTTTAGGGATCAAAAAGAAACTCCGCTACAAAGGGCTGTTTATTGGACTGAGTACGTTTTGAGACACAAAGGAGCCGAACATCTTCAATCGCCTGCAAGGAATTTAAACTTTTTCCAGTACTATTTAATAGACGTAATCATGTTAATAGTTGCCTCTATAATAATTATACACCGGTTGATTAAGGTTTTTGTAAAATTGATTTACAGTTACTTAACGGGAAATTTCTCGTTTCGAAAGAACGTCAAAATCGAATAAGTTCAAAAAAGTTAATTGTGATCCTGTTTTTGTGTTTTTTAAATTTCTATTTATAAGTACTTAAATAAAAAATAATATTTTATCTATGAAATTTGTTTTATAAGCAAAAAAATTTTTAATCCCGCAGTCAGTAGGATTCGAACCTACGCTCCCAGAGGGAATCTGATTTCTAGTCAGACGCCTTAACCGCTCGGCCATGACTGCTCCTACGTACTAGATCATAAAAAACGTGGTTCATTTCATGGTGAATTAATTTTATTGGATAAATGGGTTGCCTAAATTTCTTTTATTATGTTCTGTTTCAATAAAATAATTCAACATTTTTTACTACTTAGCCTTCTCTTTTTAGGCTCTTTCTAGTTTCCTTCCTCTCTTCCCAATCTATCACTTTTTTGCGAATCTCTTTTTGTCTTTTCAGTCATTATTCACCTTCTTTCTTTTGTTACCAGTCTCTTTCTAAACTTCTTCTTCTCTGCCCAGACTCCCTTTTGTCCTTCCTGTCTCTGTTCAACCACCTTCTTCTACTATCAATCCCCAGCCAGCCTTCCTTATCTCCGTCTAGTTCCTTTCTGACCTTTACATTCGCTTCTTAGCCTTATTGATTTTCTGATCTCCTTCTACACTTCACAAGTTTCTTTCTAAACTTTCTGTTCGTTAGTATTATTCTTGCCTTTAAAATGCCTCTTCTCATTCCCTTTCCAATCTCCCTCTTTTTTTGCCTATTTCTTTTTCTATTTCCAGTCCTTATTTAGACTCTCTCTTTAATTACCAGTCTCTTCACAGACAAATTTACAACAAGGTTCATCAAAACAAAGATGTATATATCTGACTGGTCTCTATTTAAATTAGTTCTTCTAAATTTTTGAATCAACCTGAATTTTAACTTAATAAAGTTAGCAATTTCATTTCATAGTTTTTAAAGCATCGTGATAAATCGAATTCTTAAGATATGTTGACGAATTACTTCTCATTTATAGAGGAAAGATTGTAGTTTTTCGTGAACAAAACCGCACTTAAAAATCTCTATTTGTTGTTGAGATAAAAACTTTTGCATTGAAGCCTGTGATAAGATCAATAAACTATAATGCCGAAGATCTCCTGAAATCCACGAACTTATCCCCTTAGCTCCTCAGATGGCACATCACACACCGATCCTGAAGAAATTGTTAACATCCGCGGGGATTACCTTCAGCGTGAAATTGTAAAATACTCTCAATTTAAATAGAACATTCTTGGTCTAATCTTGTACTTTAAAAAATATCTATGGTTTTAACTAGTGGTGGAACGGATATCCGGCAACTATCCGACATGCGGCCTATTTTTTTAAATCAGAACAATTTTTTCAAATTTAGCAATTTTCGAAAAATTAATTCAGTTTTAAAAATTCGTATAAAATCCACTTCTTGGAATATGAGTATGAAAATTTCCCTATATCTTCCCAATCATCAATTATTAATTAAAGTATCCTCTTTTTAATGCAACAAGCCGTTTTGAAAAATCGCTTTTAGTTTTTGAGAAATAAATTTTTGACATGATCGACAATTTTTTCGAATTTTGCAATTTTCGCCGATTAAGTTTTAAAAATTCGTATAAAATCTACTTCTTGGAATATGAGTATGAAAATTTTACAAAGTGTAAATAAAAGTGTCCTCTTTCCTATGAACCAACCCGTTTTGAAAAATAACATGTAATTTTTGAGAAAACAATATTTGAAGTATTGACAAATTTTCGATGTTGCAATTTTCATCGATAATTTTCAAAATTCGCTATAAAATTAATTTCTTGAAGGATCCTTGTAGAAGTATCACCAATTATTAATTAAAGTATCCTCTTTTTAATGCAAAAAGCCGTTTTGAAAAATCACTTTTAGTTCTTTTAAAAGAAATTTTTGAAATAATCGACAATTTTTTCGAATTTTGCAATTTTCGCCGATTAAGTTTTAAAAATTCGTATAAAATCCACTTCTTGGAATATGAGTATGAAAATTTTCCAAAGTGTTAATAAGAGTGTCCTTTTTCCAACGAACCAACACGTTTTGAAAAATCACTTTTAGTTTTTGAGAAAACAATAGTTAAAGTTTTGATAAAATTTTCAATGTTGCAATTTTCATCGATAATTTTCAAAATTCGCTATAAAATTAATTTCTTGAACGATCCTTGTAGAAATATCACCAATTATTAATTAAAGTATCCTCTTTTTCATGCAAAATGCCGTTTTGAAAAATCACTTTTAGTTCTTTTAAAAAGAATTTTTGAAATAATCGAAAATTTTTAGAATTTTGCTATTCTCGCCGATTAAGTTTTAAAAATTCGTATAAAATCCACTTCTTGGAATATGAGTATGTAAATTTCCCAAAATGTTAATAAGAGTGTCCTCTTTCCAATGAATCAACACGTTTTGAAAAGTAACTTTTAGTTTTTGAGAAAAGAATATTTGAAGTTTTGATAAAATTTTCGATGTTGGAATTTTCATCGATAATTTTCAAAATTCGCTATAAAATTAATTTCTTGAAAGATCCTTGTAGAAATATCACCAATTATTAATGAAAGTATCCTCTTTTTAATGCAAAAAGGCGTTCTGAAAAATCACTTTTAGTTCTTGACAAATAAATTTTTGAAATAATCGATAATTTTGTCGAATTTTGCAATTTTCGCCGATTAAGTTTTAAAAATTCGTATAAAATACACTTCTTGGAATATAAGTATGAAAATTTCCCAAAGTGTTAATAAGAGTGTCCTCTTTCCAATGAACCAACACGTTTTGAAAAATAACTTTTAGTTTTTGAGAAAACAATTGCAATTTTCATCGATAATTTTCAAAATTCGCTATAAAATTAATTTCTTCAAAGATCCTTGTGGAAATATCGCCAATTATTAATTTTAGTATCCTCTTTTTAAAGTTGCTTCGTTAGTTAAATCAGCATAAAAAAGTTCATTTTGTATCTTTGATCCAAATAAGTTGACATATCTTATCAGCTTTCTTATTAATTTAATTTTTATTCAAATATCGCTATCTGTTCCATCACTAGTTTTAACACTAGGAACNCCAATTATTAATTAAAGTATCCTCTTTTTAATGCAAAAAGCCGTTTTGAAAAATCACTTTTAGTTCTTTTAAAAGAAATTTTTGAAATAATCGACAATTTTTTCGAATTTTGCAATTTTCGCCTATTAAGTTTTAAAAATTCGTATAAAATCCACTTCTTGGAATATGACTATGAAAATTTCCCAAAGTGTTAATAAGAGTGTCCTCTGTCCAATGAACCAACACCTTTTGAAAAATAACTTTTAGTTTTTGAGAAAACAATATTTGAAGTTTTGATCAAATTTTCGATGTTGCAATTATCATCGATAATTTTCAAAATTCGCTATAAAATTAATTTCTTGAAAGATCCTTGTAGAAATATCAACAATTATTAATTAAAGTATCCTCTTTTTAATGCAACAAGCCGTTTTGAAAAATCGCTTTTAGTTTTTCAGAAATAAATTTTTGAAATGATCGATATTTTTTTCGAATTTTACAATTTTCGCCGATAAAGTTTTAAAAATTCGTATAAAATCCACTTCTTGGAATATGAGTTTGAAAATTTCCCAAAGTGTTAACAAGAGTGTTCTCTTTCCACCGAACCAACCCGTTTTGAAAAATAACATGTAATTTTTGAGAAAACAATATTTGAAGTTTTGACAAATTTTCGATGTTGCAATTATCATCGATAATTTTCAAAATTCGCTATAAAATTAATTTCTTGAAGGATCCTTGCAGAAATATCACCAATTATTAATTAAAGTATCCTCTTTTTAATGCAACAAGCCGTTTTGAAAAATCGCTTTTAGTTTTTTAGAAATAAATTTTTGAAATGATCGATATTTTTTTCAAATTTTACAATTTTCGCCGATAAAGTTTTAAAAATTCGTATAAAATCCAGTTCTTGGAATATGAGTATGAAAATTTCCCAAAGTGTTAACAAGATTGTCCTCTTTCCACTGAACCAACACGTTTTGTAAAATAACTTTTAGCTTTTGAGAAAACAATACTTGAAGTTTTTGAAGGATCCATGTGGAAATATCACCAATTATTAATGAAAGTATCCTCTTTTTAATGTAACAAGCTGTTTTGAAAAATCGCTTTTAGTTTTTGAGAAATAAATTTTAGTTGAAATTAGAGTTGCTTCGTTAGTTAAATCAGCATCAAAAAAATTCATTTTGTATCTTTGATCCAAATAAGTTGACATACCTTATCAGCTTTCTTATTAATTTAATTTTTATTCAAATATCGCTATCTGTTCCATCACTAGTTTTAACACTAGGAACTGTGTATGTAACAAATTGTATCCTCTTCAAATCGTTTACTATAAATATACTGAACCATCAATTTTCTTAAAACACGTCATTCTTAAAGAACTGGAGACGTGAAAAAGGAGAAAGTTTCGTTCTAAATGATCGTTTATGTCTATACTAATGGACTGTCTTTCAAGGAAACGACAATTTAAAATTTAAAATTTTTATTGTTTGAGAATATTAAAAACGGTGTTCTTCTAAAAACTACTAAAACATTCCAAATAACTTATTTATAACGGAAAAATTTAATGTTGCTCTCGATCGGGATATGTTTAGTAAACAATGTACTTCGCAAGGTTTTTTTAAATTTTTAATAGAATTAATAAATCAATAGTCTCATCACGTGTTATATTCTCATAAGAATCGACCTTACTTACGTTCCTAATTATCAAATGACTATTTTCATTTTTTCTTAACTATTTGTTTCCTTGATTTTTATATCACGCGATGTCATAATTTTAAAACTACATCTACATAGGATTGAGATTTTTTTAAATAACTTTAAACCTTATTAAAAGAAATAAATTTTCCCTAAAACCTATTGTTGATTTCGTTGTCAGACATTGCATGATTCACGTGTCCTTTATCATTATTTGAAAGAACCATGCTGATGTTGTCGTTTTTTGTAGATCCGGCTTTTACTGGGGTAATTTCAACTTCATGTCCCTTTTTTATGGTGATATAACCGGCGTAACTCAATCCTCCAATAGAAGCAACAATCGAGAGCCAGGTCAGAATTTTTACCACTGTTTTTGCGGTGTACAACATTTTTATTGGACCAGTTAGGTCACGTTGAAGATCAATACTCTAATTAAAAATTAAATTAATAATAGTCAAACAAGAAAAGTTATTTCACTTACTTCTTCAACCCAAAATACAGGAAGTAGAACTTCCGGAACATCCTTCAGAAATTTCAATTTATCAATTTTCATTAGAGGGAAATTAAATTGGATTCGATTTCTCGCCGAAAGAGGTGACCCAGAATTCTAAAAAAAAATAATTAATGGAAAATTGATTTATTTAAATTTTTTATCTTACAGCTTCAAAGAGGATGTGTAATTGATGTATGTCTTTATCCGGATTCATTCCAGTTACTCCATTTTGATATTCAGGATCAGCATCCAAAAAGTGTGGTAAAGTTACAACAATCGGCCCAGCGCATTTTCTTAAATCCAAAGCCCCTTTTTTCATACATTCATCTTGAGAAGGGCAATAACATTTGTCGTCGGGATTTGAAGATTGATCACCAAAATCCGCAACGTATTTATTAACAGGGATTCCGTCGTATTTAGTTTTGCTATCGTATTTTGCATCAACAACTCTTAATTTATAACAAAAAATTGAATTAAAAAGCTTAATTTAAGTGATAAAGTGTGAAATTACCTGCAAAGTGGGTAAGCAAATGAAGGTATATCTGCTTTAGGAATTGGTAAAGCTGGAAAAATCGTTCCTTCCGTACCTCGAAATTGATTACATTCTTTTGATCCCCAAATAGTTAACTCAGCTTGATCGTTATACTCAAGTAATCTTCCGGTTTCTTTATAATTTTGAATTCCTCTTTTAACTTTGAATTTTTCTGTCGCTGATCCATTTTTCTAGGGAATAATATCAAAAATTAATTTAATAATATTAAAAGCTTTAAGATTTACTTACAGCTCCCATTAATGAAAATTTATAAATTTTATCAGCAACAACTTGTAATTGTTTAGCTTCCGTTTTTAATTCTGTGCAAAGAGCTTTTCCAGGAAAATCAGTAACTGTACAATTTATTATTATCCCATCAAAAAAGATTTGGTTAACCGTAGCTGTTAAAAAAGGCGTTTGAGGTTGTGAAAATATACTATTGAGAGCTTTTGTAACTAAACTTATCATTGCTGGTTTTTCACGAATAACTGTTAAAGCAATTGCCTAAAATTTTCAAACAACAAAATAATTAAAAACAGATTGACAATTCAGAGTTATTAAAGAACTTTTTGATTAAAATTTACCATTATTAAAGGATGAGGAATCGTTATTATTTCATTCCCTGTTAACCCCCCAGAAAGATCTTGTCTGTAAATAAAAGTTTCTTTTGCATAAAACGTCATGGTATCATCAATTTCGTTTTCAGCAATTAATACTTTTTCCCTCCATTCCCTGAAAGAATCGAAACCTTTAATTATTTCTCATTTTTAACACAAATGCAAAAATTTTCTTACTCAAAAACATACGGTCCAACTTCTTTTAAAATCGGTTTAGCACCTTTCACGACTTCGTCAGGATTTGTTAAATTAAACGGATAAATCTTGAACATCAACGGAAAAGGTAGCTTTAAATATATATCCCTTACGTCAGTTCCTTCTTTTAAATTAACCATCTAAAAAAAAATAATAAATAAATTCTTTATAATCAATTGGGTTTATTTTTTTTTTTTGAAATCGATTTTCACAAAATCACAAAGTGAAAGCTAAGAATCATAGAAAAAAAAATTCATCCCACTAATTCATCCATAATTCCTTTTGGCACGCCTCTTGTGAATCGACGCAATCTGAAAATAATTACAAGACTCGGATGGCGACTTCAATGACAAGTTAGGCGTGTATGACCGCTTATTTGCATAACTAAACCCGGTCGATAACACTAAATTCATGCTTATCCAGAAAAAGGGATTTATATAATCTTTAAAAAAGGAAACTAGACATTTTCTAGATTCGACGTAAATTGATTGGCCATTAAAAAAATCTATGTTGAAGCTTTTAAGAAATTAATGAGATTCTTGGAAACGTTAAATACTTATAGATTCATATGTGTGTGAATATGTAAGGATGGGAACAACTTGCAAATTCGCATAAAACAGTATATATATTAAGCTTTTAATTAAAACCATTCAATTGTGGATAGTAATTTATTATGTATTAAAGTGATGAGAATATTTACATCTGCAACTATAAATAGATGTGATGTCTTCATACTGATTATTTCTCCTATTTCACACATTGTTCTTTCAAAACTACACTTTGTTATCTATTTTTTCGTCACTACTACACACATCAAAGTTATCTATGAAGAATATTGTAAACAGAAAAAATGTTATTGATTCAAAATCGAATAATAATAATAGAAAATAGTAAAAATAATGAAACTTCAAAAATCTTTTAGAGATGGAAATCTAAATTAAAACTCAGGCAGAAATCTCTACAAATGCTTACAAGTTCCTAGATATCGTTAGAAATCCTTGGAAACTCAAATGATTCGAACGAAGCTAGTCTTGAAAATCCGTGCAAATTCCTTGATATCATTAAAAATTCCTTAAAATGTATTAGGTATACTCAGATTTTTTTTGAAATTTCTTGGAAATCGTTCTAACTACCTGAATGTCTATACAAATTCCTGAAAATTATCTGGAAAGCCTTTAAGTAGTTAGTAAATACTGGTAAGCATTAAAAAACTTTAAATATTCTTGGAAACTGCATAAATGATTAAGAATTTCTTGGGTGTCGCTGGGACTTGGCATAAATCTCTACAAAATTATCAAAATTCTCCAGATATCGTTTGAAATGAAAGAATTTCCTTGAAAATTCATTGGATATCCTAGAAAGTTTTCTGAACTGCTCAGGAATCACTCGATAAAATTTGGAATATTTGTACTCGTTACAAATTCCCGTTATAAACCACTGAGTATAATTATAATGCCAGTTATACCATAAAGAAATTTGATGGTTTTGGAAATCCCTGAATACCCACGAAAATGCTTTCTATTCCACAGTTTACTTTTAATTACTCTATTAATCCCCTATTTGGACGAAGACATCTATCAAGTCTCTCAGATCGTAGTTTGAGGGAAATAACAGAATTCCATTACAAACTATATCCTCCTATCATAGAGCACATCATAGAGCTTATCATTAAATACATTCTAAGATGTCTACATAGCTTTCCGTCAAGACCTCACCCAATCCAACTATGACTCCAAATTGATAATGAAATAAGAATCTTTTTTTAAATTCGCCAAAAATCGATATCTTTTTATTTCGATTTCTTTATCGAAGATTTTTCAGATATCGATGTAAAACTTTCAAGTTTTGTTAAGAAACCCGTATTCTTTTTAATGGTGAAACCCGTTTTTAAAAATATCTAACAGTTATTAAGCTAACAATTTATGAAATATTTCAATTTATAAAGTTATTATAAATTTGGAATTTCCCTAAAAAAATCGAGTTTATAAAACATTGTTATAAAATGTTCATGATTTAATAAGAAAAGTGTGTACTTTTTAGCGGTGAACCCCGTTTTTAAAAATATATAATAGTTTTCGAGATAAAAATGTTTTAGGCCGACAAACATTTTTGGAGTATTTTAAGAATAAGTTATTTTCCATAATTTTTTAAAAATTCGCCATAACCCGAGTTTCTCAGATATCGTTATGAAATTTTGAACATTTATTAAGAAAAGCGTATTCTTTTTAATGGTGAAACCCGTTTTTAAAAATATCTAACAGTTATTAAGCAAACAATTTTTTAGACTAACAAAAATTATTGGAGTATTATAAAATTAGAATTTCCTTAAAAAAATCGAGTTTATGAAATACTGTTATAAAATGTTCATGATTTAATAAGAAAAGTGTGTACTTTTTAGTGGTGAAACCCGTTTTTAAAAATATATAACAGTTTTTGTGATAACAATGTTTTAGGCCGAAAAACATTTTTGGAGTATTTTAAGAATAAGTTATTTTCCATAATTTTTTAAAAATCCGCCATAACCCGAGTTTCTCAGATATCGTTATGAATTTTTCAACATTTATTAAGAAAAGCGTGTTCTTTTTAATGGTGAAAACCGTTTTTAAAAATATCTAACAGTTATTAAGCAAACCATTTTTTAGACTAACAAACATTATTGGAGTATTATAAATTTGGGATTTCCCTAAAAAAATCGAGTTTATGAGATGTCATTATAAAATACTCATGATTTAATAAAAAAAGTGCGTACTTTTTAGTAGTGAAACCCGTTTTTAAAAATATATAACAGTTTTTGAGATAATAATGTTTTTGGCCGACAAACATTTTTGGAGTATTTTAAGTTATTTTTCATAATTTTTAAAAAATTCGCCATAACCCGAGTTTCTCAGCTACTATTATGAAATTTTCAACATTTATTAAGAAAAGTGTGGTCTTTTTAATGGTGAAAACCGTTTTACAAAATATCTAATAGTGTTTGGGATAACCATTTTTTAGATTAACAAAAATTGTTGGAGTATTATAAATTTGGGATTTCCCTAAAAAATTCGCTATAAATCGAGTTTATGAGATATCGTTATAAAATGCTCATGATTAATACTTCCTAATATTAAAAAACTTCCTCTTTAAAGCCTTTGAAATACCTTAAAATGTTTAAAACATTCTAAATGTTCTTAGGAACGTGTGGAAATTCCTTGATATTATTGGAAATCCCTTGAAATTGTTAAGACATTCTTTGAAAATGTGAAATTCGTTGAAAATTCTTGGATATCTCTGGAATTTAAAAAAAAAATTAAATTCTTAAAAATGTCTGTATATTCTTAGAAAATTGTGACAATCATTAAAAAAGCTAGAATAGCGTCGGAAACTCTTTGAATTAGTAAGAAATTCTTGGATGTCCCTGCTATATGAAAAATTCTCTGTAAATCATCAAAATTTTTCAAGAATTGTTAAAAATACTTTTATCTATTAAAATGCAGTAAAATAATTAGCAAAATCCTAGATTTTCTTAGAAATCCTTGGAATTTCCTGAAATCTCTACACATCTTTTGCAGACGTTGGGAATTTATTACAAGATAGTTAGAAAACACAATTTGAATGGGTTTGAATATGCCCGAATAACCATGAGAATCAGTATGTACATAGAAATATTTAAAATGCTTAAAAAACCCTATGGAAGTCCTGATAAAACTGTCAATAAAAATTGGAGAATCCAATTTTCCAATTGGAAAATTGGAAAAATTCAGAGAAAGATAAGTAGACGAAGAAGCTTGTGTTGCAACTGTAAACAAGAGGAGCAGGAAGTTATCATCCAAAAATCAACTTGATGAATTGACAAGCATTTTTATTTACATAATGTAACTCCATCGCCAATTTTATATTATCATTCTCCAATTCGAGAATTTAAATCATTTTTAAACACTAAGAGGAGAATCTAGTATTACGTGATCGTCAGCAATTATTATTTTTTAATCTTAACCTTCACCTTTTGTTGATTACACCTTTCTGGTCTTCTCTAATTTAGCTCTGTACTTAAAAAAAATTTTTTATTACTGATTTTTAGAGATACTGAGACGTAAGACGTCTTCGATGCGTCGAGGCTGAAAACTAAACGACGGAAAATATTGTAGCAATAAATTGATCGTTGTTCTAATTTAAAGTTATTACTTTTATTTTTAATGTAAGCTTAAACGCTGTATCTCGAGTTTTACATCGCCAAATTTCTTGATACTCAAAAACTAATGTCCCATTTCCTAATCGTTTTCCTCACAATCGTCCCTGTCGCAGCTCAGCAACATTCTCCACAATTCTTAATATGCCAATTTAAAGATAAGACTTTTATGTTTCTCAAGTCCTATTCTTTCCATCATTACCTCCAATAAGCTTCAATTCATGATATTTTATATTGAGAAACGATAATTGTAATCAAAGAAACATATTATAGGTAAATGAACTGACTGAATACAATTGCTATCAAGAGGAGTATCTGCAGTAGATAAGAAAATCATTGCTGGAGTGTAAAATACATAAATAACAAGGAGTGAGTTATAACCAAGGCATAAAGTATTACATAATTATTATTTTATACAAAAAATATTCCAAAAGCATAAATACATATTTTTGAATGAATATGATTAAAAATATATTTAAGTTAAAAAATAAATATTGTGTTCTGCTAAATCATGAGAGATGGCGAAAAATAAAGCATAAATTTAGAGTAACTAAACGTAAACTGTAGAATTAGAAATACATAGAAAGAAGATGAAAAAGATTTTGAATCGTATCACTAGTTAGTAAGAAAATCGTAGGAATTACAGAAGTGTGAAAAACTGAAACTATGCATAGCAACATCTTAAGAAATCGGAAAAACGAGCATGCATCGAAAAACCAAGATACAATTATATATTCGTTTGCACCCTTTTTTAGCCATACTTGCCTTTTAGACAGTACATGTTGAAGATGCTTGCCATATTATCAAGGCTTAGAATTGTTATAGTCAAAATTAATTTGTGGCTTCCTCTTATCATCTTTTAAAATTTCCCCTTTATTCTGTATTGTCACGATTTTCTTGTTTCTGACAGCAAGACAAAAATATGGTCAACGATACGATTGAAAGCAAAGATGTTTTGCCATCTCATCTTTAAAGGAAGACGTTTTGCCATAGTTGAAGAGTTTGATAAAAGAAGAAGTTCTGGTTCTTAGCGTGGGCAATATCAATGGCTAAGGATGGATTTGAATGTGGTTATAAATACACAAAAATTGAGAAAATATAGTGAACCATTCCATAAGTTTCCAATTTTTTTAATTATGCAGTTTGAAAACTCCTAACAATATCAACGATCCAATCTTTATCTCCTCATCTTTTATTGCACTATCTTTTTAACAGATCTTCTCTCAGCGATAATTCTGAACGATTGCAGAAAAGTGTTACCATTAATTTAGAAGTAATAATAAATCTCTACACTTAATCATGGACACACACAAACTCAAAGCATTAGTATCATTTTTACAACTATTACCAGTTAATAAAGAATTAATATTAAAGTGTGTGCATCAATGATTATGAGGTGAAGTCTGATTTTTATTATGAATTTATTTGACAAAAATTTATTAAAGAAGTACTTACAGCTTTAATTTTTGCTTTAATCAAATTAGGAAACGCAACAAACCCAAAAATCGTCATACAAGTTAACATAATCCCACATCCCACACCAATTTTCAGCGGACGATGCATCTTGATGTTTTCTTTCCGTGCTTGGTACCGTTGATAGAGTTTCAAAATAAACGAAAGTTTCGGACAACATACACAAAAAATTAAATTTCGAATTTTACTCTCCTTCACCATAAACCGTTTCGCGATGCCCGGAAAATTCTTCGAGCTTTCCGCCCACCGTCAAAGCTCCGGCTGTATCGCCTCGCGATCGACGACTGCTCGCGGAAATTTCATAACCACCTTGATATTGTCTCTTCTCTCTGCATCAATCGAAATGATATGGATTTTAAGTAATCGTCGTTTCCAGTGTGTGGATGCGATGATGATGCGTCCGTCGTCCGATGGTTCTCGTTGGTTGATTCGATTGGTGGGAGAAATGTACACGTTTTCCGTATAAAAAAATCGATTTTAAAATATACAGAAATGTGGAAGAAACAATAATTTATGAAAAGTTTTCCAAGTAAAACAACTTGTGTTGATTTAAATTTTTATCCCATCTGCGTATTCACATGCGGTTGAAAAAAATACTTTTATAAAAAGAAAGCAACAAAGAAAATTTCTCTACTAAAGCATTAAAACGATTAAAAAATCTCATAATTTTCTTTTTCACTTTCCATTCAATGGAAAAAAATTTCTTTTTAAAACCCGTTCATTAAACGTAATCTCAAGAAAATGTAATTTCAAGAAAATTTTAACCCTCAATAATTGAGTAATGTTCTTTCTGGGTTTTCCATTCCAGTTAATGATGGTAAGTTCAGGGATGATGTGGTCATCCATTCCACATTATGTATACAAAATAGGCGGAAAAGGTAAAACTTGTATGTGTGACTACACTGGGGCTTTCGTTTATTAATATTTAAAAAGCAACCGGTTTCATGTAATTAAGGTTCAAATATGCTCACGACGGACGCAGTTCTCATGTACAATATTCAAAGCTCGACCTATTTGAATTATTTAGTTTTTACTAACCTTCGTTGCAAATAACGTTGTCTCTATCCATATTCTAATTGATTCCAATATCATGTTATTAATTATAACAAATCAATTATTTACGATAAAGATGTAGCATCGATATTTCTTCTCTTAATTAAAACGTCCTTCGAAATTTCCACATGCTACAAATTACCAGTTATTAATGAATTTTAATGGAAGATTGAGTTATAATTAAATGGTTATTAAAAAAATTAAGGGTTATCATTTTTTAGTTGATTCATAAGATTTTCGTTGATTACAATATAATTTTTGGGTTTCCTGTTTTCATTGCAAGCTACTTAATTAATAAAAATTTAGGAAAATTTGCGACCTTCAAAAATGATGGAACTTTTTTTAGTTAGAATCAATTAACACAGAATAGAATTTTAATAACTTATAATCATAGATGTATTAAATTCTCGACGTGCATCAATAGCAACGAGGTGATTACCATAATTACACCATTTAAGTCAACTCAAAACATAATAATTCTTTATTAACAAAACTGTTTAAAAGCGCCTCTTTAACATTTTCTAATAATGAAAATGAAAAAAAATCTTTAAAAGTACATAACAACGTAACAGCTCGTAACAAAGTTAATAATCTCTAAAACAATCTCTTCCGAATTGAATTGTTTCTGCACCAAGGAACACAACTGAGGAGTGGAGATCTTTGAGGTGGGAGAGATGGCCTCTTCTCTTCTTCTGTTGGTGAACAAAAAACAACGAAGAAAAGACTTTCAAGCGTGAAACTCGAACTAAGTAAAGAAATACTCCTGTGGGGCCACTTTCCAATGGTGATCGTTAACTCCTACCTGTATGGCACGTCGAATTCACACGCCGTTGAACGTTTTTGTATGACTCACTAACAGTTCGCAGAGTCTTCAATATCGACGACCTCCATCGCTGGTGCTTTGTTACCGTCGCTCTGTGATTTTCTTTCTAATTTGTGGAATTGTGGTGAAGTTTCTTGGAATAAAAACGATTTTTCGAAGAATTTTAACTAAAAGAGGTAAGTAAAAAAAGAAATCAATAAAAAATGAAAATGTTGAAAAACCTTGTATTCATTAACTTTCAAAATTTGTTCAAATTTGTTAAGTAATTAGTTTTGATAAAAATTTGTAACAGCTAAAAAGTAGTAAAATTAAACTAATTAAGCGTTGATTGTGCAACGCAAACTTTGAAAGTTGCTAAAGTTGCCTATTTTCCCGGACTAATCGCAATGTACGTAATCGTTTCAAGGTTAAAACGTGCGGCTTTGTTTTTTATTACGGACATCCACACGTAACAATAAAGCAAAAACAAAACCTTTTCCGTAAAAATTGTCCTATTATGTTGTGGCAAAATTCCGAAATCAAAACATACAATAAAACGAACTCAAATAGTGCTTCGAAAAGCAATTCCGGAGTTCTTATTAAAAAGTTTCCTGACGAAACACATTTTGTTACACAATCGTTGCAATATTCACTTTCATTTATTGTTCGTTTTCTAATCGTGTAATTTTAGAACGGTTCGTTGCAGAATATAAATCATGAGGATGGTTTAATTAAATGTTAAATTGGATTATTATTTTTTATTTGTTTTGGAAAAGAAAAATAAACGGTAAAAAGTGGTACTTTTTGCTTTCTAGAAAAAGTTTTAGCATAAAGAGAAAATATTATTGGTTTCATTTGATAGTTTTTAAAAATAAGGTTAAACCCTAAACTTAAAAGATGAACGGTTAAACAGGAAATCTCAGATACTTTCCAATTCTGTTAAATGATAAATTAACTTCAATTCAGATCAATCGTCTTAATCACTNAATACCCACGAAAATGCTTTCTATTCCACAGTTTACTTTTAATTACTCTATTAATCCCCTATTTGGACGAAGACATCTATCAAGTCACTCAGATCGTAGTTTGAGGGAAATAACAGAATTCCATTACAAACTATATCCTCCTATCATAGAGCACATCATAGAGCTTATCATTAAATACATTCTAAGATGTCTACATAGCTTTCCGTCAAGACCTCACCCAATCCAACTATGGCTCCAAATTGATAATGAAATAAGAATCTTTTTTTAAATTCGCCAAAAATCGAATTTTTCAGATATCGATGTAAAACTTTCAAGTTTTGTTAAGAAACCCGTATTCTTTTTAATAGTGAAAACCGTTTTTAAAAATATCTAACAGTTATTAAGCAAACAATTTTTTAGACTAACAAAAATTATTGGAGTATTATAAATTTGGTATTTTCCTAAAAAAATCGAGTTTATAAGATATTGTTATAAAATGTTCATGATTTAATAAGAAAATTGCGCACTTTTTAGTGGTGAAACCCGTTTTTAAAAATATACAACAGTTTTTGAGATAATAATGTATTAGGCCGACAAACATTTTTGGAGTATTTTAAGAATAAATTATTTTCCATAATTTTTTAAAAATTCGCTATAACCCGAGCTTCTCAAATATCGTTATGAAATTTTTAACATTTATTAAGAAAAGTGTGTTCTTTTTAATGGTGAAAACCGTTTTTAAAAATATCTAAGAGTTATTGAGTAAACAATTTTTTAGACTAACAAAAATTATTGGAGTATTATAAATTTGGGATTTCCCTAAAAAAATCGAGTTTATGAGATATCGTTATAAAATACTCATGATGTAATAAGAAAAGTGCGTACTTTTTAGTAGTGAAACCCGTTTTTAAAAATATATAACAGTTTTTGAGATAACAATGTTTTAGGCCGACAAACATTTTTGGAGTATTTTAAGTTATTTTTCTAAATTGTTTAAAAATTCGCCATAACCCGAGTTTCTCAGATATCGTTATGAAATTTTCAACATTTATTAAGAAAAGTGTGTTCTTTTTAATGGTGAAAACCGTGTTAAAAAATATCTAATAGTCTTTGAAACAATCATTTTTTGGATTCACAAAAATTGTTGGAGTATTATAAATTTGGGATTTCCCTAAAAAATTCGCTATAAATCGAGATTATAAGATATCATTATAAAATGTTCATGATTTAATAAGAAAAGTGTGTACTTTTTAGTGGTGAAACCCGTTTTTAAAAATATATAACAGTTTTTGAGATAAAAATGTTTTAGGCCGACAAACATTTTTGGAGTATTTTAAGAATAAATTATTTTCCATAATTTTTTAAAAATTCGCCATAACCCGAGTTTCTCAGATATCGTTATGAAATTTTCAACATTTAATAAGAAAAGTGTGTTCTTTTTAATGGTGAAAACCGTTTAAAAAAATATGTAATAGTCGTTGAAACAATCATTTTTTGGATTAACAAAAATTGTTAGAGTATTATAAATTTGGGATTTCCCTAAAAAATTCGCTATAAATCGAGTTTATGAGATATCACTATAAAATGTTCATGATTTAATAAGAAAATTGCGCACTTTTTAGTGGTGAAACCCGTTTTTAAAAATATACAACAGTTTTTGAGATAATAATGTATTAGGCNTATGAAATTTTCAACATTTATTAAGAAAAGTGTGGTCTTTTTAATGGTGAAAACCGTTTTACAAAATATCTAATAGTGTTTGGGATAACCATTTTTTAGATTAACAAAAATTGTTGGAGTATTATAAATTTGGGATTTCCCTAAAAAATTCGCTATAAATCCAGTTTATGAGATATCGTTATAAGATATTCATGATTTAATAAGAAAAGTGCGTACTTCTTAGTGGTGAAACCCGTTTTTGAAAATATATAACAGTTTTTGAGATAATAATGTTTTGGGCCGTCAAACATTTTTGGAGTATTTTCAGTAATTTTTCATAATTTTTTAAAAATTCGCCATAACCCGAGTTTCTCAGCTACCATTATAAAATTTTCAACATCTATTAAGAAAAGTGTGTTCTTTTTAATGGTGAAAACCGTTTTAAAAAATATCTAATAGTCTTTGAAACAATCATTTTTTGGATTAACAAAAATTGTTGGAGTATTATAAATTTGGTATTTCCCTAAAAAATTGGCTATAAACCGAGTTTATGAGAAATCGTTATAAAATGTTCATGATTAATACTTCCTAATATTAAAATACTTCCTCTTTAAAGATTTTGAAATACCTTAAAATGTTTAAAACATTCTAAATGTTCTTAGGAACGCGTGAAAATTCCTTGATATTATTGGAAATCCCTTGAAAATATTAAGACACTCTTTGAAAATGTGAAATTCGTTGAAAATTCTTGGATATCTCTGGAATTTAAAAAAAAAATTAAATTCTTAAAAATGTCTGTATATTCTTAGAAAATTGTGACAATCATTAAAAAAGCTAGAATAGCGTCGGAAACTCTTTGAATTAGTAAGAAATTCTTGGATGTCCCTGCTATATGAAAAATTCTCTGTAAATCATCAAAATTTTTCAAGAATTGTTAAAAATACTTTTATCTATTAAAATGCAGTAAAATAATTAGCAAAATCATAGATTTTCTTAGAAATCCTTGGAAATTTCCTGAAATCTCTACACATCTTTTGCAGACGTTGGGAATTTATTACAAGATAGTTAGAAAACACAATTTGAATGGGTTTGGATATGCCCGAATAACCATGAGAATCAGTATGTACATAGAAATATTTAAAATGCTTAAAAAACCCTATGGAAGTCCTGATAAAACTGTCAATAAAAATTGGAGAATCCAATTTTCCAATTGGAAAATTGGAAAAATTCAGAGAAAGATAAGTAGACGAAGAAGCTTGTGTTTCAACTGTAAACAAGAGGAGAAGGAAGAGATCATCCAAAAACCAACTTGATGATTTTGACAAGCATTTTTATTTACATAATGTAACTCGCCAATTTTATATTATCATTCTCCAATTCGAGAATTTAAATCATTTTTAAACACTAAGAGGAGAATCTAGTATTACGTGATCGTCAGCAATTATTATTTTTTAATCTTAACCTTCACCTTTTGTTGATTACACCTTTCTGGTCTTCTCTAATTTAGCTCTGTACTTAAAAAAAATTTTTTATTACTGATTTTTAGAGATACTGAGACGTAAGACGTCTTCGACGCGTCGAGGCTGAAAACTAAACGACGGAAAATATTGTAGCAATAAATTGATCGTTGTTCTAATTTAAAGTTATTACTTTTATTTTTAATGTAAGCTTAAACGATGTATCTCGAGTTTTACATCGCCAAATTTCTTAATACTCAAAAACTTATAATATCATCGCTAGCTCCTCTCAACAGCCCTAATGTCCCGTTTCCTAATCGTTTTCCTCACAATCGTCCCTGTCACAGCTCAGCAACGTTCTACACAATTCTTAATATGCCAATTTAAAGATAAGACTTTTATGTTTCTCAAGTCCTATTCTTTCCATCATTACCTCCAATAAGCTTCAATTCATGATATTTTATATTGAGAAACGATAATTGTAATCAAAGAAACATATTATAGGTAAATGAACTGACTGAATACAATTGCTATCAAGAGGAGTATCTGCAGTTGCTAAGAAGATCATTGCTGGAGTGTAAAATACATAAATAACAAGGAGTGAGTTATAACCAAGGCATAAAGTATTACATAATTATTATTTTATACAAAAAATATTCCAAAAGCATAAATACATATTTTTGAATGAATATGATTAAAAATATATTTAAGTTAAAAAATAAATATTGTGTTCTGCTAAATCATGAGAGATGGCGAAAAATAAAGCATAAATTTAGAGTAACTAAACATAAACTGTAGAATTAGAAATACATAGAAAGAAGATGAAAAAGATTTTGAATCGTATCACTAGTTAGTAAGAAAATCGTAGGAATTACAGAAGTGTGAAAAACTGAAACTATGCATAGCAACATCTTAAGAAATCGGAAAAACGAGCATGCATCGAAAAACCAAGATACAATTATATATTCGTTTGCACCCTTTTTTAGCCATACTTGCCTTTTAGACAGTACATGTTGAAGATGCTTGCCATATTATCAAGGCTTAGAATTGTTATAGTCAAAATTAATTTGTGGCTTCCTCTTATCATCTTTTAAAATTTCCCCTTTATTCTGTATTGTCACGATTTTCTTGTTTCTGACAGCAAGACAAAAATATGGTCAACGATACGATTGAAAGCAAAGATGTTTTGCCATCTCATCTTTAAAGGAAGACGTTTTGCCATAGTTGAAGAGTTTGATAAAAGAAGAAGTTCTGGTTCTTAGCGTGGGCAATATCAATGGCTAAGGATGGATTTGAATGTGGTTATAAATACACAAAAATTGAGAAAATATAGTGAACCATTCCATAAGTTTCCAATTTTTTTAATTATGCAGTTTGAAAACTCCTAACAATATCAACGATCCAATCTTTATCTCCTCATCTTTTATTGCACTATCTTTTTAACAGATCTTCTCTCAGCGATAATTCTGAACGATTGCAGAAAAGTGTTACCATTAATTTAGAAGTAATAATAAATCTCTACACTAAATCATGGACACACACAAACTCAAAAAGCATTTTTACAACTATTACCAGTTAATAAAGAATTAATATTAAAGTGTGTGCATCAATGATTATGAGGTGAAGTCTGATTTTTATTATGAATTTATTTGACAAAAATTTATTAAAGAAGTACTTACAGCTTTAATTTTTGCTTTAATCAAATTAGGAAACGCAACAAACCCAAAAATCGTCATACAAGTTAACATAATCCCACATCCCACACCAATTTTCAGCGGACGATGCATCTTGATGTTTTCTTTCCGTGCTTGGTACCGTTGATAGAGTTTCAAAATAAACGAAAGTTTCGGACAACATACACAAAAAATTAAATTTCGAATTTTACTCTCCTTCACCATAAACCGTTTCGCGATGCCCGGAAAATTCTTCGAGCTTTCCGCCCACCGTCAAAGCTCCGGCTGTATCGCCTCGCGATCGACGACTGCTCGCGGAAATTTCATAACCACCTTGATATTGTCTCTTCTCTCTGCATCAATCGAAATGATATGGATTTTAAGTAATCGTCGTTTCCAGTGTGTGGATGCGATGATGATGCGTCCGTCGTCCGATGGTTCTCGTTGGTTGATTCGATTGGTGGGAGAAATGTACACGTTTTCCGTATAAAAAAAATCGATTTTAAAATATAGAAAAATGTGGAAGAAACAATAATTTATGAAAAGTTTTCCAAGTAAAACAACTTGTGTTGATTTAAATTTTTATGCCATCTGCGTATTCACATGCGGTTGAAAAAAATACTTTTATAAAAAGAAAGCAACAAAGAAAATTTCTCTACTAAAGCATTAAAACGATTAAAAAATCTCATAATTTTCTTTTTCACTTTCCATTCAATGGAAAAAAATTTCTTTTTAAAACCCGTTCATTAAACGTAATCTCAAGAAAATGTAATTTCAAGAAAATTTTAACCCTCAATAATTGAGTAATGTTCTTTCTGGGTTTTCCATTCCAGTTAATGATGGTAAGTTCAGGGATGATGTGGTCATCCATTCCACATTATGTATACAAAATAGGCGGAAAAGGTAAAACTTGTATGTGTGACTACACTGGGGCTTTCGTTTATTAATATTTAAAAAGCAACCGGTTTCATGTAATTAAGGTTCAAATATGCTCACGACGGACGCAGTTCTCATGTACAATATTCAAAGCTCGACCTATTTGAATTATTTAGTTTTTACTAACCTTCGTTGCAAATAACGTTGTCTCTATCCATATTCTAATTGATTCCAATATCATGTTATTAATTATAACAAATCAATTATTTACGATAAAGATGTAGCATCGATATTTCTTCTCTTAATTAAAACGTCCTTCGAAATTTCCACATGCTACAAATTACCAGTTATTAATGAATTTTAATGGAAGATTGAGTTATAATTAAATGGTTATTAAAAAAATTAAGGGTTATCATTTTTTAGTTGATTCATAAGATTTTCGTTGATTACAATATAATTTTTGGGTTTCCTGTTTTCTTTGCAAGCTACTCAATTAATAAAAATTTAGGAAAATTTCCGACCTTCAAAAGTGATGGAACTTTTTTTAGTTAGAATCAATTAACACAGAATAGAATTTTAATAACTTATAATCATAGATGTATTAAATTCTCGACGTGCATCAATAGCAACGAGGTGATTACCATAATTACACCATTTAAGTCAACTCAAAACATAATAATTCTTTATTAACAAAACTGTTTAAAAGCGCCTCTTTAACATTTTCTAATAATGAAGATGAAAAAAATCTTTAAAAGTGCATAACAACGTAACAGCTCGTAACAAAGTTAATAATCTCTAAAACAATCTCTTCCGAATTGAATTGTTTCTGCACCAAGGAACACAACTGAGGAGTGGAGATCTTTGAGGTGGGAGAGATGGCCTCTTCTCTTCTTCTGTTGGTGAACAAAAAACAACGAAGAAAAGACTTTCAAGCGTGAAACTCGAACTAAGTAAAGAAATACTCCTGTGGGGCCACTTTCCAATGGTGATCGTTAACTCCTACCTGTATGGCACGTCGAATTCACACGCCGTTGAACGTTTTTGTATGACTCACTAACAGTTCGCAGAGTCTTCAATATCGACGACCTCCATCGCTGGTGCTTTGTTACCGTCGCTCTGTGATTTTCTTTCTAATTTGTGGAATTGTGGTGAAGTTTCTTGGAATAAAAACGATTTTTCGAAGAATTTTAACTAAAAGAGGTAAGTAAAAAAAGAAATCAATAAAAAATGAAAATGTTGAAAAACCTTGTATTCATTAACTTTCAAAATTTGTTCAAATTTGTTAAGTAATTAGTTTTGATAAAAATTTGTAACAGCTAAAAAGTAGTAAAATTAAACTAATTAAGCGTTGATTGTGCAACGCAAACTTTGAAAGTTGCTAAAGTTGCCTATTTTCCCGGACTAATCGCAATGTACGTAATCGTTTCAAGGTTAAAACGTGCGGCTTTGTTTTTTATTACGGACATCCACACGTAACAATAAAGCAAAAACAAAACCTTTTCCGTAAAAATTGTCCTATTATGTTGTGGCAAAATTCCGAAATCAAAACATACAATAAAACGAACTCAAATAGTGCTTCGAAAAGCAATTCCGGAGTTCTTATTAAAAAGTTTCCTGACGAAACACATTTTGTTACACAATCGTTGCAATATTCACTTTCATTTATTGTTCGTTTTCTAATCGTGTAATTTTAGAACGGTTCGTTGCAGAATATAAATCATGAGGATGGTTTAATTAAATGTTAAATTGGATTATTATTTTTTATTTGTTTTGGAAAAGAAAAATAAACGGTAAAAAGTGGTACTTTTTGCTTTCTAGAAAAAGTTTTAGCATAAAGAGAAAATATTATTGGTTTCATTTGATAGTTTTTAAAAATAAGGTTAAACCCTAAACTTAAAAGATGAACGGTTAAACAGGAAATCTCAGATACTTTCCAATTCTGTTAAATGATAAATTAACTTCAATTCAGATCAATCGTCTTAATCACTAATCTCAAGTATCAGCTGTGCTGCTATGACAATCAGCAGTAATACTAATTAATGGCCGTCCCACAACAATATCAACGTAACTAAGTATACAAATAAGTATCAACAATATTGGTGATTTTTATTGACTTTTTATCATTAATGATATACTGCTTGTAAAGATTGTGAGTACTTTGCGTTTCTGGTAAAGCTTTGTTCACTCAATTAAGTTGTAACATTGCACGCAAAAAGGTTTAAAACATAAAAGACTCCCTCAATTGTCGGATACGCATTCAACAAATTACAGACAAGGTCATTTTGATTACAAATTTAAAATACTTCTCCTGGTTTTAAAACAAGATGGTTTGATAAGATTTAATATTCTGTATAATATCTGAAAGATGAGATTAAGTTGCAAGTTAGATTAGCCAATTTTTCTTTTGAGCCAATCAGATTAAAATAATGTACTATTCCCATTTCAATCTTTTCAATACTTTGTTTAACATTTGTTTGGCATCAAGATATTCTGACATTTAAGTATTTTCCTTTGTAACAAGACTCGATGCTATGATCTGTTGTTTCTGCTTTCCAATCTTCTTTTTTGCATTGATACTCTTTGATCACCAGATATTCTGAAAGACACACGCGCCTAACTTCAATTTCATAATGAAGGTTTATCCTTCTTGAGAATAAGCTAAATCCGCAATTAACATACTTCAAAATATACATAAAATTAATATGTGTACATAAATAATTAATATACATCAAAAATATTTCTTCAGCTACAAAAAATCTTTCGCAAACTAGGTTTTTGAGATTTTATTCAGATCAAATATTCAAATACAACATTATAAAACACATTTTATTAGAACAATGGGGTTAATGTATGTCTTATATACAGTGTGTCCCCGGATAGGTGAAACGACTCTTATAAAAGGTAAAATTTTTTCGATATTAATTGTCATCTTTTGGGGTTTAGCCCTGATTGATTAACGACTAATTTTGAACATATTATCAATTATTAAAAAACAAGTGAGCCTTGACAGTGAAAGAAAAACTCTTTTTGTGGCAGGTAAAGTACCTTTTCTGTTTACAGTACGTGAAAGTGTTACTAAGATGTTTTGTTCAGAATGAAAAACTATAAGCATATGCAAATTTTCGGATTGATCGGCCTACTTTGAAAAAATCCATATCAAACAATTTTATTTCTAACAAAGACTGCCATGGAAAAACAAAATTGCTTTCCTGTCACTGTTAATCTCTCAAACTGTAATTTAGTAAACTTAAAGTGTTTTTTAAACAGAATGTTAACATTACAGGAAAAAGTTTCCGTGATTCAGTGTTATGCAACCGGGAAAAAACCGATTATTGCTTTATTTTGTGAAAAATTTCCAAATACTGCAATTAAAAGAAGTACTTGTTGGCGTTTAATCAAAAGGTTTCTTACTGTGGGAAGTATTCACTCTAAGAAAAAAAAATTATGATGAAACTGATTAACTATGATCAACTGTTTTCCTTTGTGGGCGAACACACACTTAATTTCTTGTGAACATTTTCAGAACGGTTTGTTTATTTCTCCATAATAATCTGAATCTCAAAACAAAAAGTCGTAATAAGGTACTATTGACGAAAATAATAAACAATAGGTTTTATCAAAGTAGGCTGATGAAAATTTGCATTTGGCCATAACTTTTCATTCTGAATAAAATTTCGTAACATTTTACCATACTGTAAACAGAAAAGGTACTTTACCTGACACACAAGAAGTTTTAGCTTCAGTATCAACACTCACTTGTTTTTTAAAATTTGAAAATATGTTCAAAATTAGTCTTTAATCAAGCAGGCCTGAACCCCAAAAGGTGACAGTTAATATCGAAAAAAATTTACATTTTATAAGAGTCGTTTCACCTATCCGGGGACACACTGTATATTATTGATTCAAAAAATAGCAAAAATGAATAATCGGCAAGTCTATGTGTGTTCAAACACAAGGTCACAAGTTGAAGCAGCGCTCTACTCGCGTGCTAATATTATTCTATTTAAAAAACTATACGTATGTTTAAACAAGTTCACACAGCGTTCTTTACATATTCTTCCTTAATTTTTTTGTATTAGTATAAATATTGTTTAGGTATAATATTATTCATTTCTATACTGATGATGCTCAATAATAGCTGCGATTCGCATCTGAATATTTGCTGAATCTAAATTATCACTGGTATCAAACATGTGATGATCTGTTTATGATATTTGATTATAACTTCAGAATGTGGTATAGAGAGAATGCATAATGTTGTAACTTATTCAGAAACACTAAGTATTTTTTGTCAATTCAGGGTGAAGAAGGCTTTATTGAGTCCCAGCCGTCTTCAATATTCACATTGTTCCTATCTCGATGGACCACTATTACCTCTCTTGTCATCCTTTGGAAGTAATTTCCAGCCCTGTTTATCACCTTGGTCTTAATGAAATCTATGGTGTGGCCCTCTTGGTGGTAATGCTCTGCGACTGCAGACTGCTGGATCTTAATCAGTCAGACTTCCTACAACTGCATGATAGCCGATGGACTCCCGCACCCTTTAATGAGATTAGTTTGTTTTTAGTTATCAGAAGAGCGTTAAGAATTTTCCTGACCGTACCGTATCGTATCACGATATCCTTCATCTTCAACCACTTTGCAATCAATTTGTTATGAAATTTGTATGTTGTTGAATCTACCTGAAAGTGTTAAACTGTTGAATCTTGCTGTTGATGTTACGTTGTTGAAATTTTGCGAATATTTTGCGTCGTGCCACTTAAGATTTGTGATAATGTTTATTTGACTTGATTAAGATTTCGGAATGTCCTAGGCAAGGAATGTAGGATCTTTTACTCATAATAAAATCTTGCCCTGGCTTGTGTTGTAAATAGCTCGAAGCTCGAATTGTTGTATTTTTCGCCATGATGCAACCTAAAGTGTTGATTTTTTCATAATTTTCTTTCTATTAATGTATTCTATACCTACCAACAGTGTTAACACAAAACCAGTTATAACTAAGAAAATCGGGTAAAAATAGTTATTATTATCTGAAAAATGTGTACTGTAACGTAATGCGGTAGAACATATGCTTCAGGAAGTGGGTTGGGTTGGGTTCAGGAGCTTCAAGTCACTTTTTGATTTTCCCAGAAACTCAGTTAATCTATTTCGGTCAGGATAGAGCAGAGTGTTCTTTGCAAAGATACCTACTACTTCGCTATCTATCGCGAAAAGCTCGATGGGAGATGGAGTTGATCAGCTTTGATGTTGTATTGATAGTTAGCGGTTCAGGGGAAACCGGGACATCTTAGCAGTTCGTTTCGCCACCCTGTCCATGATCGTGTCCCTTATTTCCAGTATGTCCTTTCCACCACTTTATCATGACGTTGTTATAAACATTAGCCTCCTCAAGTGATTGCCGACAGGATTGCATTACAACGTTTCTGCCAACTTTTTGGAGTCGATGATCACATTACCTGTTATATTTATAGCAGTTATTTCGGCCTGAGCTACAGTTGCTTTAGGGTATCGTCTCACTGCCAGAGTGTGTCCTGTTTAAGGAAGTAGGTTTGATGTAGTCTGTGCGAATTTCAAGGAGGAGTTGTTTACGAGCAGCCTCACTCCAGAGTTAGTTCCGGACTATTCCCGTTCGGATTATGAAGTTTTAAATTTAGATATAACAATTCGTTATGATTTCATCATTAATCAATTTTTTTATTCAAATTCTAGTTAAATTTACTATTACACATCGAATTTACGTCAATGTTGGGTTTATTTTAGTAGGTAATCGACAGTTTCAACGTATCTCCTACGTCAAATATAACACACCTACGTAAACGAAGTGAATCAAATATTATGTGAAAGTCGCTCGATTTAAATCACGACGATTGTAATCTAGATTCTATCTAATTCGTGTGTTTAACGTAATAAAGATCTTTGTCTTATTATACCTCAAAAAAAGAGAAAAACATGCGTTTATTGGAAATAGCGTGATTCACGCAAACAGTTTTTCTTTATTTATCAAATAATTTTTATTGAGCAATAAAAACATGTTTTCAACAAGATTTGAAGGAATATTTTTTTAATGAAGTGTATTTATACAAATTGTATCTTATTTCGATCACATCAATCGTTTGTAACAAGATTCCGGTGAAATTTTATACTTTCTAATTTGGAAATGACTTTTGGAATGAAATTTAATTAACTTTTGATTTCTCTTTTCTTTCAGTTATTCAAAAATGATTGAAATAAAGAAATTTATCTGCGGTTTAAGCTTAAAACACGGAACGATTATAATCGGAGTTGTTCAAAGTATAGCTTCGTTTATGTTTTTGGCTTTAAGTGCTGCTTATGCTGAAAATCCTCATGAACTCGTCGATATGTCCGATCCATCTCTTATTCCAGCACAAAAAGGTGATATAAAATGTTTATTTGATTTTTTGTTTTAATTTATTTTTATTTTTAAGTCGTTTTGCGTGCAATTTTAATATGTATTGCGACTGGGAGCGCTCTTCATTGTGCTTTTTCGATTTTACTCATTTTTGGAGCTGAAACGGTAAGAAACTTTATGTTAAGGTTTATTTATTACATTTTTAATTTTTTTGTTTAAGAATCGACCATATTTGTTGCTTCCTTGGTTAATCATCAACCCAATAACCGTACTTGCCTATGTAATTTGTGCTTTTGTAGCTGTTATTTATTACACAGGACCCAGTCAAATTATCTTCTTCATTACCCAAGTGGTGATCACATTGTTGTTGGCATGTGAGTTTAATTTTTTTTATTATAAATAATTTGGTTTCAAAAATTTATGGAAAGTTCTCATTCAAAGCAATTTTGCGATAACTGATAAGAAATTCTGTGATTATTAATCAGTATTGTATGCCTAAAACGTAGTTTCCTACAGATTTGGAAAAAAAACATCAATCAGTTATTATCGAATTCATTTACTGTATCGATCTAAAAATATTGTAATAATACATTGTTGAATTTTCGAGCTAAAATTTATTTAGATATTAAAAATTATTGTTAATTGAAACCAATTTTTAATTTGTAACAAAATAATTAGTCAATTAAAATTTATAAGTTGTTTTGTTGACCATGTTTATTTACATTCGATTTACGTCACAAATTATTTTACCAACATAATCATTAATTTTTTAGATTATCATTTTGAGATTACGATTGTTTTTATTAACACATTTTTTTTCTTATAGTTACTCTGGGATACAAAATACTCGTTGTGCAGAACTTTTACAAGTTCCTGAAAAGCTTAAACTTTTAAAACTATAAAGGTTTTCTTTCAAACTTTTAACCAGTTTATGATTTTATTTTATTATCTTATTACACACTCATTTAGATGTTTTTTTAGCTATTATGTACTTAAGATTTTTAATTATAATGGTAGTATTTAATTTAAATAAAATAATTATAAAATCGCATTAAATTTTTTATTTAAGATAATATAATACAAATCAGATCTCTTAAAGATAATAATTACAAAAAAATCCCTCTCATAATACAAAATCTAAAACCACTTTCTAAAACAATAAATAAATAACACCAAAAATTAAAAAATCACAATAAGTTTTTGAGATAATCCACAAAACTTCACAAAAACTCGTTTATTTTTCGCTGTTTTAAGCTTCTTCATTAATGGGCGGTAAATTTTCGGGAATTTCTTTTTGGTTATCTTCTTGCGGTTTTGTTCTACTCGTGTAATAAACATTCACGAGGACGACACATTCCAACATCCATACTGCAAAAAAAAAATAACAAATCAAAAAAAGATTTACGATTATTTCGGTATGTCGAAAGATTAGATTTTCAAGTGGATGTTTAAACTTTGATTTACTTACTTCCGATAACAATAGGAATTGCGCAAAGAATCAATGCGATGTACAACTCCATTTTTAAAGCGAAATAAATCGAAAAACCCAAAAGGATTAAAGTGTTTATGATGGTTTCGAAGATTTTTATTAAAATATATGCTCGAACGTACTCGTAATTTTTCTACAAAAAAAAATATTTAAAAAAAACTTAAAAGAAAAAAAATTATTTACCTTCACAATAGCAAAGTGGAGAAGAATAGCTAACAGTAAAGGAAACACATTTAAAACGGCTCCTATTATCAACACACGATCAGCAACTAAAACATAATAATCATTTTAATTCACCAAAACAAAATCAAAGAACTAACTTACTAATTGGGTTATCATCTTCATCGTTTAAATTATCTGTGTAAAACGAAGCAACAATATACAGTATTATAAAAACTGTGTAAAGTACCTACAAGAAATAAAAAAATATATTTATTAATAAATAAATTAAAATTAAAACTATCTTTACCATTTGGGATATGGCAATCCGAAATATAGTGGCAGCCTTGCTGTCACCACAACATAAAACCCTGAACATTTTGCTTATTCAAAACTTGAAACGACAATCACCTGAGAAATCGACATTTCTAACGTTAAAAGGACAAGCATTCTCTAATCTCATTGACGCAAATGTTAATTAGCGCATTGATCTCGAGCGATCGATAAAATGTCTTATCTTATAGATATAAGAGCCATTGTGCATGAGATTCTTCCAATTTGTACAAAACCCTATTCTCGTATTTAGGTAGTTATTATTTTCTATGTTTTTTTCTATAATGTAAAATTTATGTACTACTCTTAAGTTGTTTTTATGGAATGTACTTATTGATAATTATAAAACAATCGCCAAATTTTTTTTTTATTTTTGATTCTTTGTGATAAGTTAGTCTTTTTTACAGAGTATATTAAAAAAATGAAATATTTCATAAACATTATTTATTTTATGCTTGATAGTAACTGAAATAATATTGTATGCGCAATTACTTATTTGTTGTCATTGTACCCTCAGTGACGATATGTTGTTGTATAAAATATGTGTATCCAGATAGAGGTAATACTAAAAATGGTTAAAATAAATTAAGGGACTCTCAAACCGAAATTAACCATAACAACAAGATTTCAAAAAAGGTCGATCTATGACCGATGCAGTATTCATAATCAAAAAGATAAAAGAAAAGTCCATCGAGTTTGACAAACCTGCATTTATCTGCTTCGTAGATCTTACCAAAGTTTTCGATAAAGTCCATTTCACGGACATCATAAACATCTTAAAAGAAAAGAATGCGCCAGCCAACATAATAACGATAATATATGAGTTGAATCCGAATAACACAACTAAAGTAAGAGCAGGGATTCAGGTAACGGATGCTATTGACACCCCTGGAGGAATTAGACAGGAGGTCAGTCATAGAGGAAGTAACATCCTTAAATGTGGGGTATGTGATGAGCACCAAGAAAGTTAGATTGGTGTGCTACGCGGATGATGCAGCAATAGTCGCAGGAACAGAAGACGACCTACAACGACAACTCTACCACTTCTTTTAAGTAAGCCGCAAGCTTAATATGGCTATATCCGTTGATAAAACCAAGTTCATGACTACTGCAAAAGATCCGATTAGATGTAAACTCACAATAGATGATAAATCAATAGAACAAGTCATGCAATTTAACTATTTACGCGTATACATATCTAATGGTCATGATCCTTTGAAAGATTTGAGGAACCAAATTAATAAAGCACCCGTAATATCAGGGTGCTTAAGAGACACAATCTGGTCGAACCCGTATATGCGAATAGACAGCAAAATTCGGATATACAAGACGTGTATAAGATCGATAATGACATATGGAATAGAAGTGAGGGTAGAAAGAAACAAAACCACCAAAGATCAATTGCAGGGAAAACGAGAATGGACAGAGTGAGAAATTCGGATATTAGAGATCAATGTAACATTCTAGACATAGTGAGGCAGCGGAGAAAACAATGGTATAATCACGTGAGGCGTATGAGCGATGATAGACTTCCGAAAAGAAGAATAAACAACTTAAATAAGGTATTGTAATAATAACAACCCAACCCAATTAATGGTATACAATGAGTTTGTAGAGTTCTATACAGTTGACAATGACTTAAAGAGCCATAAGGCAATGAAAATGAAAAGTATTCTTCCGCATACATTATCTGATGTAGTAAGAAGATTATGATCATAATTCTTTCTTGTCTAACAACGTGTTGTTCTCACTGCATATATTTTAACTAATCAATTAATTACTTTCTCCACAGAATCTTTTCCGACTTCTTAAACCACACCATATCCCCTTCTCTATATTCTTTCAAGACATCTATGTCTACGATCGCGTTCTTAACATCATGATGCTGAAGTAATTTCAAATCAATATTGAATTCTCGCACTTTTTTCATCATATTCGTTACTACACCAACTCTCTTTTCAGCCAATCCGTTCCTCCTAGAATAATGAAGACTACTTGTTTGGATAGTATTGCACGTTTTACAAAACCTTTTTTTTTTTTTGTTTTCTCTTGATGCATTATTATCTGTTATTGTTGGTGGTGCCTATTTCGTGGGGCTATTGTGTTTTTTTTTTCTTTTATTGTTTTTTTTTTCTTCTTTATTATCATCATCAATGGTGGTGGTATTTTTTTTGTGGTGTTCTCTAGAAATTTCTAGAGGTTTCGTAACGAGAGCAGAAATGTTCGACTGGTTCCGGGACTGACGGCTCAAATATTAGGAAACTGAAGAACGAGATAATGATGAACTAGACAGGTGGGAGTAGTACACGCAATAGCATTCGTGTATTTGGTGCACCAGAAAAGGAGCATGAAAAGGTGTCGTTATTTAATAAAAAATTGTTTTTCTTGCTTAATCATTGTTAATTTCGTTAACTACCGAAATAGAGTTGCTGTCTATAAAGCTGACCATAATAAATGACACAACATTATTGTTTGATACACTAACTCAATATTTAGTTGACGTTTAGCACTTATGCAGTCAACATATTAAGTGATGATTGATTCGTGAAGAACGAAGAAAGAGCGCAGGTGGATAAAATATTGTCTTAAAAAGTGGAATAAATACACTCATAAAAATTTATTGAGCGGTTTATGACTTGCTACGTCATTCTTTTTTCACAGTGCACATGATATTAGGTACTAGTCTGTTGACTAGACTTTCTACTGTCCTGATTCTTTGCGTACTTACAATGCCATTCTACACTAAGAACTGTTTTATGCCCACTTAAACTTTCAGTCTGTGTCCTATCTGGCTATTGTCCAAGAGTTGGATTGCTCCCTCATTAATATGATGAAAAATTCTTGGTCGTACCGGTGAGCAAACTTCTGAATTTCTTCTTTCATCGTAGCTACTCCAAGATTTCTGTCTGATTTCTTCATTTGCACCATCCCTTAATACCTCGTTTTAGAACCTTTGTCTAATATTGATAATTTTTTTAGTGCAACTTTATTATTCTTGGCCCAAACTGGTTTAATGGCGTGTTCATAAATCATCTATAAGCCAATACATTGTTCTATATTTCAGTTCTGGTTCTGTCTTCAATGTTTCTACAAACAGCAAATAGTGCAGTATCATCTGCAAAGGTAGCAGTCACCGTTTAAGATATTTGGAGTAGATCTCTAGTGAACAACAGGTATAAAAATGGACCTATGACACTGCTTTGGGGAACACCGGCATTAATTTGGAATATTAATTTCAATATTCACTTTCAGAGTACTGTTTTGATGTTATATCTTTTAGCTTTGTTTCTAGCATTTGGTGCTAGACCTTATCAAATGCTTTTTCAATTCCTTCCAGAAGTTAGTACGTACAGAATTAAACTTTTTAATTATTTGCTACAGCAGCAATTACTCTAAGATAAAACTGAGATAATATTGCACAACACTACCTACAGACGATAACATTTTTCCCAATATTGCACAATAAAAATCAAAACTGTTTTGATTTACTCAACATATTGCACAATCTTTCAATATGATCAATAAAAGGTTAATATAAGTGTGCAATATCAAAGAATGTGCAGTAATGTTCCTGCGTTTTGCAGTTTTTGTGTCACTTTCAAGATAATAGCATAGCAGCTAAATGAATTGGACTTAAATGAACTGCCTTAGATTATGACGATTGTGGTAATAAAACAGAAAGGCTTTTTTGTAAATAACTAAATCTTGTTGGAACAGACGAAGAAGAGCATCATTGCATGAATTACTTCGTTCACTTCGATTTTGATATGCAGCTAAATACATATATAGAATCATTTGGTTATGATTCACATGAAGTCGATAACTTAATAAGTTGTGTGGCATCTTTTTCAACTATTATTAGCCATCAGTATTTGACTACATCTAGTTGTAGTTAGTGTAGTGAAGGCCATTCTTAGTTTTAATGGTATACAACCAACAACACCAATAAATAATTTTTGATTTGGAACATACTTTGGTAATTATTCTTGTCTGGTACTCCAATAAACAGATACTACATCAAATTTTACTTAGTATTTTATTTTAGTTTAAAAATTTAAAAGAGATTGATAATACATAAAAACAGTTTACTTAATGAAAAATTTAAATTATTTGCAGATACCTTGAAAAAAAAACATTTTGTTACTGTTTTTTAATAATAAATTACCTTGAAATAGCAAATATTTTAATAAATTACTTTAAAAAAACATCAACAATAAAGTTAGAAAATAATTTTATTATTGCGTTTTAGTGAATATTAACAGAAAGACATTCTTTTTATACACAATTTCAATGAAAAATGTACAAATTCGATGTTAGTTTCACATTTGATAACGAAAAAATATATGTCTAAAGTCATTTTATTGTAATCAATAATCATAGTACAAAAGGAATCAAATCGCACAGCCTAAAGACATAAACCTAGTATACAAAAAAAGTTGTGTTAAAAATAAGGCACATCTTGAATAAACTTCAATAAAAAAAATTGGAAATGTTATTTTATAATTTAAACGAATGTAGTTGTGTTATATTTAAAGTTGTGGAAATTGTTTGTCATCAGTGAAAAAGTTGTACTTGATTCAGTTAATTTAATATGTGGTGTGCAGCACCCAAAGCCCAACTAATTTCATGTCCGTTAATTTTCTTGTAGAGCTATATTAGAATGAAAATTAATTAATAATAAATTAATAAAACAAAAAAAATCATTCTTACGTAAATAGTTGTATCTGGTCCCAATCCAAATCCTTTATGCAATAAAGCCCAAATAAACGTCAAATCTAAACACATGAAAGGTTGTTCAACATTCGCTGTATTACAAGCATTTTGAGCTGCCTTTTCAAATTCGTTCAATTTAATTCTTCCGCCAACGGCTTCATCAATTAAACCAACTTCCGAAGCACGATCAAAATAATAACTAAATGCAAATATATTTAAAGCTGGTAACTCAGCCAAAGGTTTGGCAATCGAAGAAACATATTTAATAATATCTCCGGAACATTCTTTATAATTAATAACAGGAACATCAAGATCAACAAAGGTTTCGTCACCCTTCATATGGACTTTTTGATATTTTTCATCTGGTCCACTTACAAAATAATCTTTTCCAGCGAAATGGAATTTTTTATTTTTAACCACATGATTAATACAAGAACTGGTAACTTCAGTCTTTTCTGGCTGGTTCAAAGTAATGATATGTTTACGAGCTGCCATTAAACCCAACCCTAAATAACTGTGCGTGTAAACCGGTAATGTTCCAGCAGGAGTTAAAGCATCATGAATGTACTCTTTAGCAGCCAAACTTGAAGGTGTCGCAGGATAAAAAGTGACTTGAGTTGAACCCCCACCTAAATCTAAAGCCGCAACCGTCGTTTTTGGATCATAAAATTTATCCAACAAAAAATTCACTGTAAACCATGAAAAGATTCCCTCATCAACTCCGTCCATTATCGCTACAGATTCGTCGTTTGTAATAAATGGGGTTTCTTTGAAAAGTTTTCGAACAGCATTTAATAAACCATCCGCTTTATCTTCAGGTAGAAGTCGCAAACCAGCAGTTGCTTTAAGTATTAAAGGAGTTGATGACCAGTATTGTTGAGGAATTTCTTTTTTTGCTTTTTCTATTAACGATGCGATACTAGCAGCACCCTTTAAAGATTAAAAAAATATTTTTATCAATATTTTTCAGTAATCTAGCACTGAATAACAATTAAAACTAGAACTAACATTAGACCTAGAATTAGAAACATTCGGGTTTAGCCGCGTGTCTTCAGCCGAAATCATAAAGTAGATATCATGAAAAAATCAAAGATTTGCCATTATCTGCTAAAACAGTGCAAGATAGTACTGCAAAAATGTTTTCAAATGTAACACATATGCAAGTGGAGGACATTCAACTGGCTTCTGCCTTATCACTCGCTATTAATGAGTCTTGCGAGATAAAAGACACGGCATAGCACAAGTTACCCTTTTCGTCAGGTATCGTCCAAGGACCAAAAGAAGAACTGCTAGGATTACCACCGCTCTTCGGAGAAGATATAGCAAGACAATGGAATCGATATAAACAAAATGGTTTCTATAGCAACTGCATAGAGGGTAACATCAATTCTTCAGAAAAAAATAAACCACGAAATTTTATATGCATAATTCAGCAAGAAACGTTCAGTACGCACATTTCTTCGACGTGTTGATGTTATTGCATCATTTAGAGAATATGTGGTATGAAATCTATCCACAGTTGGACGGATGGCTTGCTCAGATGAATATATCTATAAGTTATGCGAATTGATGTTTGATTTTCAAAGTAAATCTGGATAATTTGGTAGCGTTGTTCAAGCGTCAATCTGTTCATGATGATTTGCCAGAGTATACTGATCATAAATATCAAAAAGTGAGCGCAGTATGACAGTTCGTTTGACAGTTAATCCTTTCGTAAAAACACCCTCTAGATACCACAATGAAACTAAATGAACAAAATCTAAAACTGCATGGAAAGGACAGTATATGCATAGTTCATCAAGAAGCGCTTTGTGCCCAAACATTTCCGGCCGAAATAGTTGAGGTCATGAACATGGTAATTATGATTATTAACAGCATCTTGGCAAAAGCACTCTACCATCGTCAGTATAAAGATTTCCTTGAAGAAATAGATACAGCCAGTTTTCTGACCTACTTCTGTACAATAAAGTATGATGGCTTTCCAGAGATAACGTATTACAACGTTTTGCTTTGTGCTTGAGTGAAATCAAAACATTCCTCATTAAAGAAAGCATTGACCATCCCAAATTGGATGAAGACAAATGGCTGCAAAAATTCAACTTCATGGTAGATACCACAATGAAACTAAATGAACTAAATGTGTCGAGCTGAAGATTTAACTTCATTAACTCAATTTCGCAACCACACACCAATGATCTATATGGCGCGAAAGACTTCTTGAATCCTTTCCTGAATTCGAATACCGCTTTTAAATTTAACATAGTTACGGAATCCGTGGTGATAACCACTTTAAATGAATTAAAATCTAGTGCAGTGGGCTTCGATGGAATACCCTTACAAATTCTGAAAATTTCATATCCATTTCTGTCAAAATTTATTGCACATTTGATTAACACCTCAATTGAGCAATCAACCTTTCCATCTTACTATAAAATTGCGGCGGTTCACCCTATTTCTAAAGTTAAAGATCCCAAATCCTTTAATGATCTTCAACCAATTAGCATCTTATCGTATCTTACAGTGATGATCCTCTTAGATTTCAGTAAGGCTTTCGACACTGTTTGTCATTCATTACTACTATCTATACTGCAACGATCCGGTTTGGCAGAATCTGCAATTAACTTGCTTCGAAGCTACTTATTGGATCGCAAACAATATGTACGATTGCATAATGAATCGTCCTCATTGATGATACTAGGATCAGGAGTTGCCCAGCGATCAATATTATTACCACTCCTGTTTTCTATTTATACAGCTCATCTCATTAATGTTTTTCACATTTGTAACATTCATTTATATGCAGACGACACGCAAGTGTATCTTTCAGTTCCTCCAGATAATTTTGATGATAGCTTAGTTCTGATCAACAGGGAATTGACTGCTTTTTCTCAGCTTGCAGAAAGGTTTAACCTGACGTTCAAATATACTCCGACTGCGTTAATATAAATATAAATGGACAACTTCTCCCGGTGGTTTCTGAGGCTCGTAACCTTGGACTCCACCTTGAAACTGATTTAAGATTTCGCAAACATATTTCTTATATTCTCCAAGCGGCTTATGCTAAATTAAAGGCTTTTTACCCCTGTCGACACAAAAGCAACGTTATGCCAATCGCTGGTTTTATCTCGATTTAATTTTGCCGATATGGTGTATGGATGGGCCTTGTTTGTTGAAGGTGGATCAGCTTCGTGTTCAGCAAAATACTACAAAATGCTTGCCTGCGATTCATTTTTGGTATTAGGAAGTATGATCATATATCACACAAATTGGCCACATTGGGGTGGTTGAACATGGATGTAGGCAGCTTCACTGTGCCGTTTTTTATCATAGAGTTTTAACCTCAAAAACACCTGAGTATTTGTTGGACAGAGTATGCTATCGAACTGATGTACATCATCTGAACTTAAGATTTAAAGGTCTTCTTACCCCTCCGGCGCATAAAACGGAAATTTTCAAGAGATGTTTCAGTTATCAGAAGCGTGTACAATGGTATCCCTGACGATATCAAGTTGCTTCCGCTGTCCCGGTTTCGGAGGTCGATGTTCTTATCTCTACGCTCGCAACAGAACCAACAGTGATTTAAGTAATTCTCTCCAGCATGTTTCAATTCAGTTTTTATAAAAAAATAAAAAATTCATATTGTTCTATTGAACTGTATTCTATATTTCTATATGATATTGGTCTTCGCGGGCGACATTGGATGCTTTCACTTGGGTCATGATGATGGAGTGTTCAGTTTTTATTTTTATTTTTTTAATTATTATGCAATAGAGTAGTTTTTTTGTTTTACCGCTTCCTTGCGTTGGCCTCTCATGTGGTATTATTGTTAATTAAAGTTTGAGCAGAACTTCGCCTTTTCACCTAGATGTTTTTAATTTCTCTAATGTTGGATTAATATTTTTTTATACATTACCGTTTCATTAATTCTTTATTTGGAAATGTAAATTTTTGGGTGAAATAAAGTCATTATTATTATTAAATCTAAAACTGCAAGGAAAGGGTAACCCAAACTACGCCTTGCTTGAAATAGTTTGTTTCAGAAAAAAATGACTTCTTTTTGTTGAATCTGAAGCAATATCGCGATGAGACCAATGCAACTATTGACACGAATTACTACAGTATAGGTTTAAAAAACATGAAGGATGGATTTGCTGAGAGATTTGAGCAATTCAAAACAAACAAAAGTACTCTCGCGTTTATAGCAAATCCTCTCAACACAAATACAAATGAGATCAACATTGAGCCATTTGGAATTGATGCTGGTTCGCTTCAAATGCAATTGCTAGATTTGAAAACCAAAGACTTGTGGAGTGGAAAGTTCACAGAACTCAAGAGCAAGTTGGAAGAGTTGGAAGTCACAAGTGGACCTCATATTCGGCCATTAAATAGTCTTCCAAAATGCTACAGTGGGGTGAAGAAGTTGGCATATGGAGTACTGACAATTTTCAGTTCGACATATTCGAACAAGCAAGCGTTCTCTTGCATGAATATAATAAAAAGTAAAGTTAGAAGTCACTAACAAATCTAGAATCATGGTTGAAACTTAAAACAACAAATTTTAAGCAAGATTGATATATGTAACTATCTATATTTGTGTTTTCATATGAATAAATATTATTTCATATTTAAAGCAAAATTTAGTGGCTCTTTAAACACTGGGAAATGTGCTAGTGTTAGTTCTAGTTTTAGTTAGTAGACCTAAAACTAAATTCCCACATATCTGAATGAACTTATAATACAAATGGGTTAAACTTATCACCAATTTACCTATCAATTCATAATAATCACATTTTAATTTTAATTGTTATTAAATGAACACATTTTGATTACTTATCATTCTTATCAATAATGAAATTACACAATGTTACCTAATACCCATTTTATAATCAAGGAAAATTACCAACAACATTTGTTGCATTCTTTGTACTTACCTCTTCTGGTTTATCTGCAAAAAATGACAACCCAGGTTTGGTAAATTCAAAAAGTTCTTTATCTAAAATTAAATGATCATCCAAATATGCTTTGTGGAATGTAAAAGCTAAAACGCGTGATCCCGTGCTTCCAGCGTCTATAACAACAGCATGAACTGGCTTGTGGTACCCCAAAGCTTTAGCCACTTTATCGATGGCTATGTGCTTTAAATGACTTGGAATGTAATCAATATACATAACTAAAAATAAAAGAAATTAACAACATAAGTATTAAAATTAAGATATCACAAATTTCTAATTAAACTTTACTTGTAAAAATTGTTAATATCATCGCACTGAGTATAAGGCAAAATAAAGACTTTTGTAATCCAGACGTTTCGGGTTTTTTTGATTTTCTAGGTCGTACTTGCTTCCCATTTTGTTCTTTTCCCTATAAAAGAAAAATAAAAATGTTTAATAAAACTTGAAGGAAAGTGAGGTTATGTTATAGGACAACTCATCAAAAAAACTCATTTCCAAGGTCTTTACTTACATATAAAAGCGGTTGCATGAGTATTTTTTAATGAATTAAAATGATATTTAACAAAGAAACTTAATTAATTACACACAAAAGAATATTTGTCGTTTTATCGAAAAAATAATAAACAAAAAGTCAAATAAAATCACGTAAAGATAACTCACCTCTTTCCTGCGCCTTAATCCCGAATTATTCATATTTTATTAAAAAGAATTTATTAACGAGAACTTTTTAAACGAACAAGAAATTCCACTTTGAATCCTCTGCAATTGATTCACACGAGTGTGACAAACAGCAATTATGAAATTACTTTGCAATTTTTCTATTATCAACTTGTGATAACTCGAATTACAATTCACGAAACCTTTTTATCATTCCTCTGCTAGTATTTCCCAACAAAACCTTAATATTTCAGACACTTTTTTCGTTATAGAAAGTTAGTTTTTTATAAAATGAATTTACAATTTTGCTTATCGTTTTATATTACACGCGAGGAAATAATTTAAAGAATTTAAAATAAATAAGGTCGTTTAAATCGTTAGAGAAATATCGTTTATATAAACGTTAGAAATTTTAACTGTCAGTTTGACAGTGATATGTGTCAAAAATTCTAACCTAATTTTTAAATTAAGCGCCACAAGTGTCAAAAAGAAAATGTTTGTTGTCAAACAACTCATAGATCAAAATGTTTAAATTTACCATTTTACACCTAATAATAACGTAATTATTGTTATCTCACATTTTTATTTTACTTTGATAATTCTGAATGAGATTGAATTGATTTTTAGGTTAGGGATTTAAAAGCCAAAGAATGTATTTAAAGGCGTGTGCAAGCTCTTTATTTGTAGTTTATGTAGGAATGTTATTTTATAGTCCATTATGTCTTTCTTTTACATGGTTCAATATGCTTTTATGTTGCATTGTTATTTTTGCTGTAATTGCATCCGTTTGGGCACACATCCTTTTATCGTCTCATCATAAAACTGGGGCAGGTTTAGAGTACATACAACAGGAATTTGAAGTGTTTAGAAACAAGCTATTGGTAAGTCTTAATGTGTTTTAGTTAACTTTTTAAAAATATTTTTTTTAGATTAATTATGATACCATAAAAGGCAAATCTCCTCAAACTCATCTTGCAGTGGTTTTTGGAAGAACTTTGGATAGTTTATTACAGCAATTATTGGATTATATGACCAGGGACTACATTTTTTATTATTATGATAAGTATTCTTATAAAGATTTTTGTATTCGTGACAATATAAAGTAAGTTTGTCTGGTGTTATTGTTCCAAAAATGAAACATTGATATTTGGGCTTTTAGAGAAGACTTGTGGGGGGCAGTACAAGTTTTACATGATAGATTTTCTAGGATTGACCATGCTAAATTACTCGCCTGTGATTTAATTACAAAAATTACTAGTCATTTTGAAAAAATTAGGGAAGCTAAAAGTTTAGTGTATGTTACATCAATCTTTATTTTATAAAGCAATAAACAGATGATGTTTTAGTATTGACAGTGATCATTATCCACTTTTTAAACTTTCCCCACATCTCTTATCAAGAGAAAGAGAACTGGGATATTTAAGACTGGTCAGTGAAGTTCTTATGATGTTTTTATTGCCAAGGGGTTATTTGTTATCTCCAGCTAAATATTTTTTGAGGGAAGTTATTGCATGCAAAGTTTTATATCCAATGATTGATAATATAACAGATCCAGATTATTTTAATCAAAACGTAATAATTTACATAGAAGCACAAAAAGTAACAGCAGCTATGCATAGAAAAACCTTCGAATATGCAAACAGTTTCGAGGATTTTTTAAAAATGATACAAAAATCAGACGATATTGAATTATTAAAACGTTTCCGTTATGATATTGTTACAAAAATAATGCAAGCAACAACTTTACAAAACCTAAAACGTGCAAAAGGGGTTGACGCAGATATGGAAAAACCATCAGGTTCAACCGGAATAAACAAATCAGAAATAAACGCAGCCAAAAAATTAAAAAGATACATCAACCAATTAATGTTCGCTAAAAAGCAATGCGAGAAACGTTTGGCCCAATTAGGTTGGGATATTGGGTTCCAATATATCGAAGATAAAGTGCTACCTTTATCTTCGATATTATCCAGCGTTATAGGAAGGCGATATTTAACTCATTTCCTTGAAAATGTTGCAAGCCAAGGATTAGTAGGTTATTACATTTCCGTTGAGGAGCTAAAAACAGCGCAACGAAAAAGTTGGCATCAAATCGGTGCCGAAATTTTTTACACCTTTATTCGACACCCAACGGCAGAAATAAAAGTTGAAAAAAATACCAAAAAACGAATGGAAGCCTTTTTATTAGGCGATAAAGGGCCTGAAGTTTTTTACGAAGTCCAACAACAAGTCGTGCAAATACTAGAAGAAAAATATTACCAACCATTTATTAACAGCGAATTTTATAAAAAAATGTTGAGCGAAATGGAACACGAAGTAACCGAAGTAGATAGGGCGAGTTTTAGCGAAGAAAAACCGGGTTCTGGTGACTCAATAACGAATCACGATAATACTTTGCACGTTGGTGATCATTCAAATTACGCTCGGAAAAAATTGGATCAATTACAAGAAAAGTTAAACACAAAATCACAAGCTTTACAAGCATTAAAAACATCGCTTAAACCCGAATCTAGGGTTTTAACCATTTTAGATAAGGAAGTCCAATGGTTACAAGGTGAAAAACGACAATTGGAAGCTCATTTGGCTCGAACGGAAATTTGGGGGGAAAATTTAGGAAAATGGAGAGCAGTCGTACAAAACGCCGAAATTCTCCCGGAAAAAGAATCATTACTTTTCGTGATCGTCGTTGATATGATTGAACAAGGAACGAATGAAGATGAAGAAGAAATTAGTTCTGGTTGGGTTGTGTCGAGAACGTTGACGCAATTTCAAGAGTTACACAAAAAATTGCGACCTTTGTGTTCAAATTTAAAAAATTTAGAGTTACCTTCACAAAGCTTTAAATTTTTATTTGGTAAGAGTGATAAAAATAGTTTGGATAAAGCTAAAGGACAAATTCAAAAATATTTACAAGTAAGAAATCAATTTTAAAAGATTTATTTTATAAAATAAAACCTTTAGAAGAACATTATTTTATTTTAGAACAGATTTTTCATTGATTTTTTTTTTAATATTAATCATATTTAGTGCCTGAAATGACTTGTTCATGGTCTACAAGGTGAGGAGGAATTTGAATCAGACTCACAAACAAAGTTCTCAGTAGTTTTATGTCTGTAAGGATCTTGTTTTATTATAAACTAAATGAAAATTTTCATCTTAACGGAAATTCTGACATAATAATAGTATTAATTTCAATCTTTGTTACAGTTGTCTCTTCAAGTTCCAACCACACTTGAAGTAATGTGGTAACCTTTAAGGTCTAAACGATGTTTTTACCTAAATTTTTATTTAAATATCAAAATTTCTATCGTATTTCACACAATGGAATTTTACATGATCTTTAAAAAATGATTTTACTGAGGAGGAATGAGACATAATCAGTTCAGATTGTGCAAGTTCCATCAAGATCTAATCGTTTCTTTCCACACTTTTACTAGGCTTTTGATTTATTTCCTGTTTTTCATATAACACTTGTTCCTCTCATACCTATATTTGCCCATTATCATTCAGTTCCTTACTTTTCGTCAATTATCTTGTGGTGATTTATTCTTTGAACTTATAACGCATATTTCATTTCCCATTTTCATTTCTTCATCCCTCTTATTCCTTACTTTTTTTAAGTAATTTTATTGCCAGACGATTTAGACGAGTTTCACCAGACAACACAGGCATAGGTGATGAGTGGTCGAATGAGGGTTTTATAAATTAGGATAGTGTTTTCGCATTTAAGCCTTGTTCTTCTGTTTATCAAAGGATACAGTTGTTTCAACTTTTCGTAACCTTGATTAATATATGGTACTTCTAAGTTAATCTTGTGTCAAGGAATAAGCCAAGTTATTTGACAGGTTCGTCCAAGTCGTTCCATCTAATAGTTTCTCCGTTAATTGTTAATTCCGATGGGCTTTTAATTCGTTGGTGTTCAGTCGCATCCTCGAGATCAGAGCTTTGCGCTATTAAGGCTGTATCGTCCGCATATGCTAGCATGTAAATGTTGAACAGGTTGGGTGAAAGGGCGCTGCCTTAAGGTACACCAGCGAATATTTTTCGGATAAGGATTCATGAATTTTAACAAAGCAGGATCGGTTTTTAAGAAAGGATATTAGTATTTGTTTGATATTGGTGTCAAGATCCAGGTGTAATATTTTATAAATTAATCCGAGAATTGAGAATTGCTGCATTTCAAATCCGTTTTCAATTATGTTCGATAATCGTTGTAATTGATGACCAAAATTGGAAGTGTGGAATCACATTCATTTCGTTTAATACTTCAGTTAGGCTGTAATTAATTACTTTTTCTAAGATTTTAGATAATGTAGATAATAGGCTAATCGGTCGGTAGCTGGTGATGTTGCTCTTGAACTTCGCTAGTTTTGGAAACATAAGTACATGTTCGTGTTTCCAGCAGCTTGGAAAATAACCTTGTTCCAGACAGGCATTGAATAATCTCTTCAAAAACTGCACTCCTTTTTAAAGTTGATATTTCATTAGATTTTCTCGTGATTCTTATTGTTGCTTTCCATATTTCGTGACTATTGGGTTCTATGTTTTTTAAATATTCCTTTCTTATTTGTGGTGTAGACTTGGTTGCAGGGTTTCTCGTCATTTGCCACTGACGTTGTAGGCTATTTTTCTGATTTATAACAAATTGGACTTAAGATGGTGGGAGATAATTATCAAACTGCGGTTTACATTTAGGGAATTATGATTGTTTTATACAAATATTGATGGTTTCTGTGAGAAGCTGTAGACTTTGATCAATTGATTTTTGGGTGTAGTCGCTATTATTGAAATTATTCTCAAATTCATCTTTAATCAACAGCCAGTTAGTTACTAGTTAGTTGTTATTTTTGATTGGACACGATGAGGTTTTGAATGATAAAATCACAGGAAGGTGATCAGAATCCAAACAAAACCACTTGTTGATTTATTAATTTATTGAAATTTTTGGTCAATGCGATGTCTAGAATGTCGCGTTCGCAATGCAGTTATATATAGAGGATAAATTTAGTAGTAACTACTATACATTGCGCAACGGATTAAAGGATCTACTAAATTCTTGTTTCAGTTTCTTCTTTCTGAAGGCGCCTTGTGTAGTAATATCCGAAATCAAAAAAGTTAAGGAAAACGATTTTCCTGTCCTGACGTTATCGACTGATCTTCTTCGTCTGTATAAATTCTCCTCAATATCTTTTAGTATAAAACAGTCTTGTTTTAGTTTTTCCGGGGTACTGTAGTATCGCCTATGGAAATGCAAAATAATTTCTTTACTGACTGTTGAGTATCTGAAGGACTTTGTATTATGCCCACATGTACACATGCCCACATTAGTTTATCACGGTTTCTTTTCCACGATGCTGATCGTATGTGGCGTTTCCGTGTTTTATCAGTTTCTTCTTTAATGTTAATTTCCATATTACACAATGTAATAACCACATTGAACAAAAATTCAGCGTTTCTATAAGATACTTAAGGAGGTACCATCAACCAACGCTGCCGAACATATGATCATAAATGTTGTAACTCATGCGCAGTGGATTTGGCCGCTTTTGATGCACAAACAGCAGTAGATTTGGCCCGTTTTGCAACTCAGATCAAAATTTAGGCAAAAATTTCCATGGGATATGGTTTGTTTTGACACAAATAAGAGAGGGAAAACATGCAGAGAGCCATCTAGAATTGCAAAATAAAATAAAACCGAAAATGACTAATTGTGGATTTAGCTCTACATCCCCAAGCTGTGATCTTACTGTTTATGTCACCCAACATCAGAATTTGGCGGTTAATTTGATGTCCTCCTCAATGAAGGGTTTGTTGAGTTGCTTGTAATCACTAAAGATCTTAAGGGTAAAGTTATCAGTTAGTGTAATTTCTATACCGATAATTTCAATGTTACTGCAGTTAACTAAAGGGAGTTTTTGATTCGTGAACTTTTTCTTAATTAATATAGCCACCCTTCCGGAAGCTATGCGATTATTTCTGTCCTTACGATAGATGTTGTAATCAGGAATTGTAAAATTTCTCTGATTTGGAGCTAAGTGTGATTCAGTGATACATGCAACGTCAATGTTTTTTCTCTGTAAAAAAGTTATTAGTCTATTGCTTTCGTTTTTAATTCCGTTAATGTTTAAGTTGAGTATTTGGAGATCGTACAGAATTATATTTGCGTTATAAATCATTTTTGTGGAGATTATTGGAGAGGTTTGTTATGATGAATGTTTTTATTTGGTGCAGAAGTGGTTGTAAGTATGAAAGTATGGCGGATATTATAGTATTCTCGATGGGATCAGTTGTAGGTTGATTTAAATTTTGTGGTGGATTTGTATTTTTAATATCATTTGCGTAGGTTTTATTGGGATTATTAGAAATCCCTTGCTAAAATATTTCTCCAAGACTTCATTTTCTACGTGCTCTCACTACATATTAGAACTTATTTACCGTCAGTGGAGAAAATTGCTTGCTCTTTTACCATTTTCACTTGCCATTGACTCCATGTATACCATTCAATCTCCTTTATCATCAACAGCCAGCACAATATATTCTTAAGATTTGTGCAAGTATCAACATAGTCTACAATGATAAAATTCATTTCTAATCAAATCTCCACGGAAAATGTACGGAGTTCTCTCAATCCAAAATACCTCTATAATTAAAGCTGATTATTATTAAAACCCCATAACTTCTTAAATCCTCAAAATTCTTCGAAAAAAATTACTGATTTTTTAAAAATTGGACATTTCTAAAGGTTTTATTTTATTAAATACACTATATTTTTGTTAATAAATATTCTTTGTAGTTCATTCTTGAAGATGATCGTTTAAATCAAAGTGAAGCAATTTATTCATTTTTAAGTCCAAGCTCTGAGCATTTAAAACACACGACCCCTTCCCCAAAAAAATCGAAATTTTCATTTTCAACGTTATTTAAAAGGTAAACAAACCCAATTTCTAATTAAACAAAATAGTAATTTATTTTTGAAATATAGTAACAACGAGCAAAATTCTCGAGATACACCATTTACACTTCGAGAGAATGAAGAGGATGATTTATCTCAATGTTTAGAGGGGTCAAGTATTGATACGGTTGATTCTCGTTTAAATGGAGGTGCAAAAATAATTGATGATGGAAAAGATTCGATAGCAGAACCTCTTTATTCGTTATTAACTGAAATTTTTGATATGCGGGGTTTGTTCAAGTATTTAAGAAAAACGTTGATTGCTTTTGTGCAAATAACTTATGGTAGAACAATTAATAAGCAAATTTATGAGACGATTTCTTGGTGTTTTTCCGAACAAATGATGCATTATTATATAACGTTGGTTACAAAATCTTGGTGGCCAGCGGGAGTTTTAGCGGAGCAAAAACCATCGAGATCAGAAGAGACGAAAAAGCAGACAGCTAAAGAAGCACGGGAACAGTTTATTTTAAATGTACCTGAAGTTTTAGTCACTTTAGTAGGAGCCAGCGCGGCTAAAAATGGTGCCAGGAAGATATTTGATACTTTACAAAATAAAGCAATGAACAAACAACTTTTTTATGTTAGTATTATTATTTTATTAAAAGAAATCAATTTTAACTTACCACGATTTTATCATTTTTAGGATTTATTTGAAACAACTCTTTTGGAGGCATTTCCAGAGCTTCAATCACACTTTACATAACACTCCACAACGTTACATTAACAAAGTTATTTTTCTACAAGTGACTAACACAAAATTTCTATATTAAACAAAGAAAATCTTTATCTTCCTTAGTATTTAAAACTTAGAAAAGAAAAAGTTATTCGTGTCAGTATTATCTACTTATTCCACAGAATAATTACGTACAAAACATACAAAAATTGTAATCTACATAGTTAAAATGTTTCGTTACACAAATAGAGTAGCTTGAGTATGGCTTTTACTAGATATTAATAGTATTCTAGCTTTTTTCTTTGTGATAAGCCTAATTATATTGATAAGATTTTAGAAATGGTATTATTTTGGCTACTTAGAATAGAGCTGTGTAAATTGTTTTTTTTATTTATTGTGTATGTACATAATCAGTGTTTAATAAAACATATCGATAATGTTTTATTTTTAATTTCTTAATTAGATCTTGTAAAAGATGAAATCAACAAAGTGATTTTATTTGACTGAGATAAAATTTTTAAATAAAACTACATAATGTAAAATAAATAAAATTAAATTTATTTAATATAACATCTTTTAGTTATATATTTATAATAAAAAACTTAAACAAATTGTTTTAAAACTAAATCAAACAATAACGCAACATAAAGATATATATTTTTAATAAACCTAAATTAATGCATTTTTAAATGTCTATTCAAATGAGTTTTGGAAGTAAACCGTTTTTCACACAGATGACAACCATAGGGTTTCTCTCCTGTATGAATTCTTGTATGAATTTTGAGTTGTCCAAGTTGACTAAAACCTTTATTACATATTTTACAATCATATGGCTTTTCATTAGTGTGAACGCGTTCGTGCATTTTGAGTAACAACTTGGAAACAAAGCTTTTTGAACAATGTTCACAATTAAAAGGTTTTTCCCCTTTATGTATGCGTTCGTGGATTTGTAAATAAGACAAAGAATGTAATGCTTTTCCACAAAACTTGCAAACATATCTTGTTGTTTCATCGTGTGATTTCAAATGACTTTTAAATGTAAATCCACATCTGTATACTTTAGGGCATAGAGTGCATTTATAAACAACGCCTAAATGTGCCGAATTTTTATGATTATTTAAAGCACCTATTGTTAAATATCTTTTATCACAATCATCACATTTAAAGGGATGATACGTTTTATGATGAAGCTGGGTCATATGTTGCTTTAGACTTTTTACTGAAAAAAATATAGAATTACAATCAGTACAAGGAATAGTTTTTTGTTCAATGTTTTGATTATTGTTAGATAAAGGGTCTGTTATTGTTACATTGTTGGCAGTGGAATTTGATTTGTTTGATTCTGATGGATCTATTTTTTCATTGCAACTTGTATCAACATTAACAAAATTAGGTATAGGATTATTTGTGGCATCTTCACCATTGTTTATATGTTCTAATTTAATTGGAATGTGATTATCCATGTTTTGATCTTCATCCTGCTTCTCATCGTTTTCATAAGATAAATTTTGTTCTAAGGAATAATCATGGTGAATCAACACTTCTTGTTTAACATTACTTTGAGAATTCTCCAATTTCACAACATTGTCTTTACAGTCACTCTTGTTAAATTCATCGACCCACATTTGTAATTGTTTTTCTGCACTCACACAGGTTGTTCTAAATTCATATAAAAGGTCCAATTTGTTCATGCAATGATCACATATGTTTTTTGGTAATTGATCTTCTTTTGAAACTGTAATCGACAAACATGCTGAGATTTTTTGATTTATTTCGCTTATATTATTATGTTCCTCAAATATCATTATATTAGCCTCATTTTTGACCAAACATAATCGACATAAATTCATAATTTCGTTAATACTACACATTGTATTTGTTATTTTCCATTAAATTCATTAATATCGTGAAAATACTGCTTTTTTACCCAAATAAACGTCAACATCGTTCAACATATAAGTACATAACCTCTCTATAAAATTATAAAACCATATAAAAATAAAATCCCTAAACATTCCCACAACATTTCATTATCAAAGAAATTATATACAATTTCTGTTTTTTAGGCAATACTTTACTATTAATTATATGTACATATGTTATAACAACATTATGTAGGCAATATAATGGAAGAATATACAATATTCAGGTGAAACTAAAAGAGAGTAGTTTGAACAATTTGAAAAACAACTTTATATCAACAAGTCAAACTATTCAATGAACACCTTTGAAAATGTTTTCTTTGGACCATGTATTGTAGATTATATCAGGCAGGGAGGACACTGAATGCCTAAGTTGTTCAGCTAAAGATTGGAATCCAACCTGAAGACTGGATCAAGTACATAATAATAAGGTCGTTAATGTAACCCCAAAGAAAGAAGTTTTAGGGCATTAATTCAGTTGGCTTGAGACACCAAGACCATCCTCACCAACCCATTGTCATTATTTATAGGTACCTGCACGAATTTGTTTGTTGAAATTTACTGTTTGTATCCTTATTGTTGAATACTTAAGTATTTCTAACATTCTTATGAATAGGTATCCCAATTTTAAACTTCTTCCTCTTTCAGGACGCGAATCGCCTGTTTAGTTTTGCTTTCCTTTATCAATTCATACATAATTGTGTTGAATTGTTGAATAACACAGGATTGAGACTGTCACCTTGATGAATAGTTATTGTTTTCCAGGATTGTTATAACATCTTTTAGTTACACTCTGCTGAAAGTCTTGGTTAGATCCACAAAGCAGAGGTAAGCTTTGTTCATGGACAATTGGTATTATTCCTTTGGTATGTTGTCTTGATTTGGAGTTTTCCTGTTTTTTGAGCTTTCCCATTGTCTCTCTTACTTGTTCTTGCGTTATTTGCTCGTGTTTTTCTGGGGAGTTGTTTTGTGTTTGATTTCTACTGTCGTTTGTATCAACGCTGGAATAAAAACGATTATGCAAAATGTATTTGGGAGCATTATAGAACATTTTGTAATAACAAAACTTTTTTCCTCAGTTTTTAGTTTTTGAGATATAACCTAAATTGATGATTAAAACGTCAAAATAGAGACTTTTTAGATTACAATCAATTAGTTTCGAAATAATCAACGCTGAAATAAAAACGATTACCCAAAAAGTTTTTAGAAACATGATGGAACATTTTCTAATAACAAAACTTTTTTCTTCAGCTTTTAGTTTTTGAGATATAACCTAAATTGGTGATTAAAACGTCAAAATAGAGACTTTTAGATTATAATCAATTAGGTTCGAAATAATCAATGCTGAAATAGAAACGATTACGCAAAAAGATTTTGGAAATATTATAGAGCATTTTCTAATAACAAAACTTTTTTCCTCAGCTTTTAGATTTTGAGATATAACCTAAATTGATGATTCAAACGTCAAAACAGCGATTTTTGAGATTATAATGATATTAATGTAGTGTTATGCAACCAGTATATCACAACATTAATTTATCATATTACTCATTTATTTTTAATGTTTAAAATTGTAAAGTTTGGTGTAATACATATAATTTTACATTCTTTATCCAAAAAAGAAATTAATTTAAATAATTAAATTCGAAATTATAAATAGCATAGCGCCCTCTATGGAGTAATAGCTTACAATACTTTTTTAATGTTTACTTTAGTCTTAACCTCAAAGTTTAATCTCGTTCAACGTTTCTCAAAAAAAGTTAGTGTAAATCTTTAAATTAAGATGTTGGCCAAAAAGGTAAGATTATATTTGTTTATTATTTACTTTAATACTAAATTTAGTTATTAATATACAGCTATTTTACTTAATAACATCAAAAAGCACAACATTCCAAAAATGTGCTTCTTTAAACAATGTAAGGACTAAAGCCTCAGCTACGATGCAAGAACCCACCAAAGTCGAAAAAAGTAGTCGATTTTTATGAAAAGTTAAATTTGTCTAATATGTTTTCAATTTTTAGCTTTAAATGCAGTTCAGTTGTTAGGTCGAGCGGGGGGTAATCCGCAATTAAAAGGTTCTGAACAGCATCCTATGGTGGTGTTTTCTTTAGCGACTCACACGAATTATAGGTATGAGTCGGGGGAATTTTTACAAAGAACTGAATGGCATAGAGTAATATGTTTTAAACCTGGTTTAAGAGACAATATAATGAACTTTTTAAAAAAAGGACAAAGGGTTTATGTTAATGGAAGGATTACATATGGGGAAATTAAAGGTGAGGATGGTTCAATGAAAACCACAACTGCCATCCAAGCCGATGATATTATTTTCTTTCAACAACCTCAGCAATAACTAAATTGTTAATGATCTGAATGTATTTTTTTACCATTTTTTAAATAAGTAAATAAAGTAGATTTTCAATTTAAATATATGTATTTCAAACATTATATGTTAACAATGAAACGCGTGTTTTTTTCTATAAAAAAGAACATTTTTATTTTAAACAGCGTTTTTTTTTTAAATCTGAATGGGTTTTTGTAACACATAATACAAGTTACTTATTTTAAAACGAAATTAAAAATTTAATATGTACAAAGTAGAAACTAAGACGTACTTAATTGGAACAAGAACCAATTTCACAAAAAAAATAAAAATTCGATTCAAATTAAAGCTACGCAGAAAGGTATCGCCAAGCGGATACCTTGAGGCTATTGCTAAGTTTTTCGTTTCGAAAAAACCCTACGAATTAAAGTTTCAATATAATTAATATATTTATTTTTTTTAATATTTACAAATTCACATTATTTTATTATGTACAACATCATGAAATATATAATATACTTTATTATTTTTAAAACATCACACTGTTTTGAGTCAATTATTTCAGAGATCACAGAAACAGAGCTGGAAGACGCTCTCGTAATTATTTTTTTATGGCTTTCAAAATATATTTGATATTATTTATTATTATATATTCCAGGTTTTTGGAATGTTTTTTTTTTTAAATCTTTAATTTATTTAACTTTTTAACATTATCCATTTTTAAATTTAGACGTTTTCAAAAATACTCTTCGCTTTTTCAATTTACAATGGCCCCAAAAATATATTGTGTATAATTTTTATATCAATTTCTTTCAAAAATTTGATAAATTTTCCAGTCTATCTCTTTACAATTATTTTAGTATAATTTTTTTTTTCGTTTATTGTCTACAAAGAGCTGCCCTCGTCGGAAAAAGAGCATAAAAAATTTCTGTGTCCAAATATTTCCTTCTTTCTTCTAAATAAATATCTTTTGGCACGATTGTACGACTCGAAGTACCACACTTCTTTAGTTTCGTTTAGCTTTAACTAAATAAACACTACAGCTTATTAAAAGTCTTTGCACAAATTATTGTAAATTTTCCTTTCTTTCAATTGGCACCTTACTTAAAAACTCACTATCATCGAGTTTTTATAAATTAAATAACTTTTGTATCTTCTTCTTTAAAATATCCCGCATCCCGCATTGTTGGTGTATCTGGTGAACAAACTATATTTACATGTCTGCTACTGTTACTACTTAAATCCGTTGGCATATCCATACTAAGATCCGTAGGTTTTTCTTCATATTCTTGTGGCCTACGCGTTTCATGTTCTATTTCTACAGGTTCTGTTTTAATTGTATGTTGAGCCACTAAATGTTGTGGTGCTGTTGTTCTTGTTGGTGACATTTGTTGACGAAGTAATGATATGTTTTTTATATTTTTCAATTCGGTTGGATTTCTTAAGAATCTATAAAAAAGAATTAATATTATAAGTAAGAAGGTTTTCACAGCCAATGTTAATTAATCTAAAAATATCACTAGAACTAGAAATATTCTGGTTTAGTCCTCTTGAAAAACGCATTTCTAAAGACGAATGTTTCTAGTTCTAGATCTAGTGTTAGTTCTAGTTTTAAACTATCACTAGAACTAACGCAAGACCTAGAACTAGAATAATTCTGGTTTAGCCGTCTTGAGAGACGTGCGACTAAACCCGTATGTTTCTAGTTCTCGGTCTAGCGTTAGTTCTAGTATTGTACTAGCACTATCACTGAAACTAACACAAGAACTAGAATCATTCGGATTTAGCCGTTTTGAGGGATGTGCGGCTAAATCCGAATATTTTTAGTGCTAAGTCTAGTGTTAGTTATAGTTTTACACTATCACTAGAACTAACACAAGACCTAGAACTAGAATCATTCGGGTTTAGCCGTCTTAAGAGACGTGCGGCTAAACCCAAATGTTTCTAGTTCTAAGTTTAGTGTTAGTTTTAGTTTTACACTATCACTAGAACTAACGCAAGACCTAGAACTAGAATCATTCGGTTTTAGCCGTCTTGAGAGACGTGCGGCTAAATCCGAACGTTTCTAGTTCTTGGTCTAGTGTTAGTTCTAGTTTTACACTAGCAGTATCACTAGAACTAACACTAAGATGAACTAGAATCATTCGGATTTAGCCGTCTAAAGAGTCGTTCGCCTAAATCCGAATGTTTCTAGTTCTAAGTCTAGTGTTAGTTTTAATTTTACACTATCACTAGAACTAACAAAAGACCTAGAACTAGAATCATTCGGATTTAGCCGTCTTAATAGACGAGCGGCTAAACCCGAATATTTCTAGTTCTAAGTCTAGTGTTAGTTCTAGTTTTAATTGTTATTCAGCGTGAGATTATGGTACATTTTTATTGAACTGAAACTAGAACATAACACTAGTCTTAGAACTAGAAACATTCGGATTTAGTAGAACGTCTCTTTAGACGGCTAAATCCGAATGATTCTAATTCATTTTAGTGTTAGTTCTAGTTATACTTCAATAGAAATATACAATAATCTAACGCAATCTAAATATTCAACTAAAACTAGCTGTCTTAACGAACGCATGGCAAAACCTGAAAGTTTCAAAACTTTTGCGGAAAAAATTAAACTTACTGGTAGCAATGTCTTTCTCCTTGTACTTTCTTCAGAATATTTACTCTATAATAATATCTTAAAGCTCGAGACATTTTGTCATAGTTCATGCTAAGATGATTCTTTTGGATTCCCCATAATTTTGCTAATCCAGCGGGATCAACGATTTTGAAAATTCCTGTTTCTCTATTTTTCCAAGCAATGTAATTTGTGTACCGTTGAGCGGGATCATTCAAAAGTTGTTGGAGGAAATCCCAAAGTAACCGTCCATCTATAACAATGTTGTTTTATTAATTTCGCTTCATAATTATTGTTTGTGTATACTTACTTGTGTTTGGTTCGTGCGATTCGTTAGATGGGAAAAATTCTCTTCCCATTCCTTTAAAAACTGGGCTGGAGACTGCTTCTTTAGGACTTCTTGGTGCAATGGCTGGTAAAGGAGGTGGTAAGGAATAAGCACTTGGTGTGTTTGGTGGGCTTGTTTTTGCATCGTTGTAACTGTCTTCGTCAGAATCTGATTGGTTGCTTCCGCTTCCGTTACTACCGCTGCTTCCAAAAATCGAATGGCTAAAATTGTTGATTGCACTTTCGACGTGTTGTGGTGAACCTGATTGGCTATCAACGGAAGGAGCAGGGCTTAATGTAACCGAGTTATTTTGTACCATTAAATGTGCTGCTATATGGTGTGGGTGAAAATTTTCTGAATTATTTTGTGAAGTAATAAAAGCCCAATTTGGTGTGGGTGGTTGGGAATGGGGCGAAAGTGGATACGGATGTCGCGATGTTGGTGTGATAGGACTCGATGGGAGGCAGCGTTGTAAGATGTTTACTTCTCGCATTAATAATTGGAGGACGTTGTGGAGTACGTCTCCAGATCCGGGAGCTCTATCTGCTAAATCTGTGCGCGTGAGCAAACACATCGCTTTTCCGTTCATTTGAAAACGATCCATATCGATCGGTTGAAGATCATATTCCCTTTCAGCCCATCTAAGGAAACTCGTTACATCTTCTCTGGACCAAATTCTCGGATCGGAAGGTAAAGAATTTGGCAATTGACTCTTATAATCTAAGAGTGGCGAAGAAGGTGGTTGGGATTGTGGTAAAGAAGGAAAAGGGTACCGCCAGAAAAGATCCGTGTTAAACGGAATAGGAAGCGGAAGTCGATCCATGGCGTTGGCTCCTGTTGGTATTGGAGGTAGCGGTCCTGGAACCAATTTCATCTTTCGATTCCTTGCCCCGGATCTGCAACATAAACAAAACAAGTATTAAGAAAGGTGTTAAATGGGCGGAAAAGAATTGACGTCATGATTTTTTTGCGCAAAGTACGCACGACTGTACCGAAATAGATTATTGTTTTCTTTCCAAATTCCATTGTCTATTTCCGTGGAACGCCTCACAAAAATACAACACGGTCCGCTAAAATCCCGGGTTAAAAATAGAAGACGGTCGGCACGGTGCTTTCGGAAAAAGGCAACTTCGAAAGGAGCAGGAAGAAATATGTCAATGTCACCTCGAACCTATAAGGTAACCGCGTTGTTCACTTCCGCATCGCTAAGCCACTCAACGGGAGCAACACTTACTGAACCTTACCCGGACTCAATCACAAATAAACGATTATACTTATTATTGTGATCGAAACCGGTTCGCGTTCGCTTATCTTATCGTTTTACTTCCTCCAACTAATTCCACGCTCAACAACGTTGATAAACGAGAACGGGAAGTTCGAAATAATCGTATAGGTACCTAAGTTGAAGTGTGTTCCGAGGATAGCATAGTTCGGATCCAGGTAGAAGAAGGAAGGTAGAGGAACAAAAAATACCGACAACCGAGAGGGGCATTTCCGAACTCTCGTAACCCGTTTTATCTCTTCTCTATAGGAGGCTTCGGAAAGACGTGGGTGATTGCCCGCTTCAAGGTTAATAATTAAGAGACGAGATCCTATTTCCTTCTACGTACAATAAAGTAGGAGGAATTTTTGAAAAAAATAAGTAAATAAATACCCAATTGTGTACATTACAATACAATTTCCAAGAAAACGAATTAGTATAGTTCCGGGCAAATTTCTAAAAACAATTAGGGAGCTCATAATACACAAATTTCATATTATTTATAAATTTAAGTAATTACTTTAAAATGAATACCCGCAATTACGTCATCGTGCTGTGGTATTTCCGGTATAAATAATAATGGAATTATAAATCGGTTTCCGCATTGTTCCGATTACGTCATGAGGTTTATGGATTTAAAATAGTAATAGTAGGAGGAGAAGGCGAAAAGTAGGAGAAGGAAGTGATAATAATTCCATGTTGGATTTTATGAAACAATCGTTCCAAGAATTTGAACACGAAAAGGAAACCCCGCAAGGTTAAACCTCGTCTCTGGCGCACAAAAGCAACAGGTTGTTTTGTTTGCAGCAAACCGGATGCGAAGCCGCTTCGGGTATTGTTTCCTCCTTCCGTCAAAAGGAACCTAAATAGGAGACTTCCGGATATGAAGATTATAATAATAATCACCTTTGAATTTTGGATGCCGTTAATGTCCTCTGGTAGCGAATATGTTCTTCACACTTAGGATTTTTAAATCCAAGTCCAAAAAGTTTTTGTGAACACTCAAAATTTTGGAGCAAAAAATGAAACTTTAAACACTTGAACAGTTTATGTTATTTTTAAAAATTTCCTTTTTTGGAAATAATCGTCACTTAATAAAATAAATTGGCACTTTATTACAACCACCAGCGACTTAACTCGCGTCTTTTTCTCTCTCTATCGAATTTTTCGGCAGCTGTCGTAGTAGTAACTGTGACTTGTCTGATAGACGGCCACCTTACCACTGGAACGTACTGTTTGGGATCTGTTTTTCGTCCCGTCGTGCTGTGCCCCGTGAGTGCGGGAGTTGGAGTTTGGTGGGGGCCCTGAGTCCACACACACATACAAAGTCGACGTTGCCAAGTTTCCACACCGGATCTACACTTGCTGGTGGGGAGGGCATCTACTTGTCGTAGACTTCCTCCTCCTGCTAAATCTGTTCGGTCCCAGAGTCTCAGTAATAAATTCACTATGTTGGATGATTGCAGGTGGCTAAACCAACAATCTTAATACAATGATATGACACAATGCACACAATTTCTATCCAATTAAACTTTATGTTCATTTTTTATATTTTCTAAATTAAAGTATAATTGGAAGAAATCAAATTGAAATTGATTGGAAATTGTAACCGACGACGACGTTCACAGTAGGCGGCATTCGTTTTTGCCAACCAGGAAATGTTCAAAAGCAGACGTAATCCTGTCGCGGAAATATAGTTTCATAATCGCCCTTTATATAAACACAGAGACATGCATGGCTATGAAAGCGTACGAAGTATGACACTAAAACGTACTATTACTTACGACTTTAACAGTAAAGAAATTGGCATTGGCGGTTTCTTAAAACATAAAATTAATCTAATCGTAGAATTCCCACATTAGAAATTCCCAACTTACTTAACTTTAATTCCTCCATGAAAACTCTCTATTAGATGATCCAGTTGGAATTTCCACGCTTGTATTTTTCGAGATACAACCTCAAAATGTCAAATACATACTGCTAGCAGAAGACGGAAGAAAAGAATAACAACTGTTAAAATATTCTACACTACTTGGAAATTTTTTAATATAGCTGATTTATATAAAACCTGTGCTATGAATATTTTATTTGTTTACTTGAATAGAATACCACTTATGTTTTTATAAAATGCATTCCTCTTTGGCATTCTTCTTCCACATTTCAAAATTGTTACAGTCATAAACCCACACCTACAGGAAAGGCATTTGCGGAGGAATTAAAACTGCTGCATTTCTTAAAATGGATTTCCCATACAAAGGACAAATTAGTCAACGGACATACTAATAATAATGCGTAGAAATACTTTAGAAGCAGTGTAAAAAAGGAAACGAATTCTAAACTACCTGATTTCTGGATTCATAGAAATTCTTTAATAACTTAGAAAAACCAGAGTACAATAAAAAATAACTTTATCGTAGCATCCTGCCTTCTCTAAGAAAGCCTAATAAAGGAGTTACGAGTTTCATGTTTGGAAATTGACTAAAATGTGAATTAAGAAATTCAGTTAATTCAGTTTATAACGTTAAAAAGTTAGATGGCATTTCTAATCCTCACCTTTCTACTATAACCAATAACTAAACTATCCCTAGTTTTACTGGTATGACAAAAATTAACATGGAGTTGGCAAGTTAATAAATAACCCAATGTTACTCTAACATATCTCCTCTACCTACCAAAAATACGGGTTGCACTGGCAGATCGTCTCCAACCTAAGATTCCAATAATTTCCTTCAGGAATACGTGAAGCAAACAAATACAAATTCCGTTTCTGACAGCTTGATGCAACATAAGCTGAGAGAAATTGATGATTAATGTTCACGATTCAGCTAAATGCATGTTCTGTAAGGCTGCATAAACTCTGTATACTACTCAAAACCATCAATCAAAAGCACCACTAGTAAACAAGACCAATAACACTTCCTCCATTGATAACGACAGACAAATCATTTACGAGTATCAAAAACAATGCTGGCCTGTGAATGGAGCCGTGTATAACAATCAACTCGGAACATAGGTTAAAGGCTTATCTAGTACTAATTCGTTGAATGTACAATCAAACGATTTTGTAAAGTCATAAAATTGTTAATTGTTGTGTTTTTCGTAAATATCCTATACGTAGTAACGTGTGTTTTAAAACCACACGTGGTATACTTGTTGCTTCTAAACAAACGTGTTCACCACTTAGGCGAGCGTTCGTTAGACAATCGGGAACTTCTTCGGCAATGATGCATTGATTCAACCATTTACACATAATTTATGTCAAAACAAATTTCCTTAAGAATCGTACCATTCTTTTTGATTTATATTCAATAGATATAATCTCTATTATTACTGCAACTCATACCATTTATGTTACGAAATTTGATTTAGTAATCCGGAGATATCCTTTTTCATTCCTTGTTCAAGATTTGAGAAGGAATCATTTCCATGGTTTCTTCAACAATATCATAAAAATAAGTTCAACTCATCCAAATCCATGGGCGATATACGCGGTTTATAGTTGTTAGTGAAATTTCTCATTGCTCGTTAAAGACCCTTCTCAATCAAGCTAATTCAACACTTAATCCAGCATTGATTGTCTGGATAAAGCTTATACAGAGTTAAGACTTCATAAAGTCGTGATACAGACTTTATGGATCTTTGTCGAATTTGTATCAAAACTGTATCTAGAATGTATTAAGAAGGAGTCTTAAAGTGGTATAAAATGTACATGCCTTATTAAATTTGCATCAAGTCTACACCATGCCTTGTTAAGTCAAATATGTACAGAGTCACATCAAATCTACATCATGCCTATTTAGTTTGCTTCAAAATTATCATTATGCCTCTGACTGATCCAGATATCAGTTTGTAGTAAGTCCTCTTAATTCTCAGAATTTGTACTAATATTGCCTGTTGACCATTTCTATGGCGATTAATACTTGGCTTCACGAGTTTCACATGTTAAAGACCCTCCTCAACCAAGCTAATTTAACACTTGGTCTAGCATTGAATATCTGGATAAAACTTATACAGATTTAAGCCGTCATAAAATCGTGATACAGACTTTATGGATCTTTGTCGAGTTTGTATCAAAACTGCATCTAGAATGTATTAGGAAGGAGTCTTAAGTGGTATAAAATGCACATGCCTTATTAAATTTGCATCAAGTCTACACCATGCCTTGTTAAGTCAAATATGTACAGTCACATCAAATTTGCATCATATCTATTTAGTATGTATCAAAATTATCATTATGCCTCTGACTTGATAGACTTATTATAACTCATACAACTCTGCTTTAATTCTCTATTCAAGAATGCGTCAAATATCTATCGGGTCTGCATCAAAACTATACCTAGAGTTTAAATGTCGTTATGTTTCCACCAACTTTTCTTTACATCTCGTCATATTTACATTAAGTCTCCAATGATATCTTCATCGAAGCTTCTTACAAAGTCTACGAACTTCTTTTTATCAAATCAAATCTGTAGAGACTGACTCTTCATCATGAGTGTATCGTATGTGCATCGATTCTTTCAAGCCATCATCAAATCTGCAGCTGATAGAGTAAGTCTCTATCAAATCTGAATATAGATAAATACTACATCAACTCTGCATTGAGTTCTCATCACCGAAATCACTAAATTTTACTTCGTCGTGCTTCTAGGAAGAAGTTACGCTAAAGATATAAGAAAAAAGATAAATCTTTTTATTTCTTCTTCGTCAACAATTTTGAAGTTACATTAGAGGTTAGTTTCTAGAAGTAAAGACATGATGAGGAAAGATGATGTATTTGTCAATAAAATGTAAGATGCTCATGAAGCTATTTATAGGAGAAAACAGCGTGCATCGGCAGTAATTTGTCAAGTAATCGAAATGTGTCCATTTAAGTAATTAATTTTGTTGATTGATTTGCTAGAAATAACAATTCGCATAACAACGTTAAATAACAATTCACCAAATATTTTATTTGTTGTCTACTTCAAAGAATACCACTCATTTTTTATAAATCGCAGTCTCCTTCAACATTTTACTTCGAAATTTCAAAATTGCTACTGTCATAAACCCAACCCACAGAAAAGCACACGATTAGAATGGCATTTACATAAGTATTCAATACTTTTTTTTATAAAAAAGATAGTTGACGTCGTCAGTGGTTTTTGTTGTTCATCGGTAGCTTTGTTCCTTCCTGTTCGCTGCTGGTTATACCATCATTGGCATGAATCATCATAGGCTGACGATAGTAAAAGTTCTTTTGTAGGTGCTGAAGTGGTAATCTGATGTAGAGGAAGTGTGACTAAACGCTAAAAAAGGATTGTGCACCGACGACGAGCGACTGACGTCAAGTTGCGAATCCTATCGTGGAATTTGAGATTTGCGACGGTTACTATACAGAACCGCAATCATAAAGTTCTATAAAAAAAACTAAATAATTTTGTTATTGCTTTCCATGATGTATCCAAATAATGTACAGTTTAACAGTTTAAATTTTCGTTTAAAACTAATAAAGGTTTGTTGCGATTGCTTTGGGGAGATTGAAAATTATTTTATTAGTTGAATACGGTACTGTATGTGTTGGACTGGTAGCCGGACGTGCCATTCGGGCGATGTTCCGAGTCGAGTTGGCACTGGACCGAGAATAACGTTAGCAGCCTTCTAGATGTGCCGTCGCGATACTCCCTAGGGAACATGGAATGTCGTGTTGTTGGCAAGCGACACGTTATTACTTCCTTCCTCTTACGCACGACACAGACTCGCGGTTGATCCTATTCGGCGGTCTGCCGAAACCTGGCTGCGATTCAAAGTTATTTCGGAGCGTGATCTTTTACAGACGGTATTTGTTTTGTCGTTCCTTTTTGTCGCCTTTATTTTTCCTTCCCTTCCGCTAACAACACGCCATTATTGTCTTTGCCATTTACGTCTTGATGATCTCTTCAGAAACGAAGAGATTCGATTAATTTACTTCTAACCTCAATCGGAAAATTGCCGCGACCGTTTAGGGTTCATTTTCGCTTCGGACACGTGTCTCCAATTTGCGCCGAGCGCGAAAACAGCAATTATCCAATGTAATGTGGGAAGTAAGCGGTCGGTAAATGGCGATGGCAGCCACAAGGAAACGGATACGAGAACGCGACTGAAACCGACGTGTTCCCGCTGGTTCTCTCTTTCTCCTCCTTCTACATCTTGCGTAATCGAATCGGTTACTGCTAAGTTATTGCAAGAACCCAAGTTATATCTATACCTACATAACTGACGTTACATAATTATT